TAAAAAAGGGGGTGAGGGAACCTGTGGCCTTCCAGATATTGTTGGATTTCAACTCTCATCAGCCTCTATCAGCATGGCTAATGACCAAGAATAGCGGGAGTTGTAACACAACATCTAGAGAGCCAGTTTCTCCAACACATTTGGTATTGCTATAGGACAGCTCATAAACATAAACAGCTCAGCTATTTTAGGAAGGATGCCTGTGAACTAAATATATATATATAAATACTATGCAGCTCATTGAAACCACACAGAGAAGGCTGCACTTAATCCCTCAGGGTCTGAGCCAATTGCTAATTTACAGAGGTGTGTGCATCCTATCTCATCATCATGCATTGTTCCCTTGCAGTTGAAACAGTAAACTACCTCTAATAACAACAACAACAACAACAACAACAACAACAACAACAACAACAGTCCCTTTAGTTAGATGTTACTTTCAGCCACTCCCATCATTCATGTAAGACATCAATCTGCACCAGCAGCATCATTTATGAGTGTGAAACTGATGGGTCTCAGAGAAGTTCTAAGGTGCGTCTTCCAGATTCTCAAGTTGATTGCTCTCATTACTGTAGAAAGGGGCCAACTGTAACTTGAAAACTGTCATGAAGAGAAGTCACCTTGCTCACCTGCCTTGACAAATGCTGCTTTCAGTGTAGTTTAACTTAAGCAGATCTAAAAGGCTGAAATCCTAGGGACTTCACTTGCCATTTGAATTGAGAAAAGTAGGATGACTAAGCGTGTTGTAGAATCAGGCTTCATGAAACCAATACTGAGTTCAACAGTTGTTTATATATCAGACAGCCCTGGGTTTGTTTTTACTTTGCATGTCAGGCCCTGCACCAGGAGGAATAGGGTCTGAAAGCTCATGCAGCTAAGCAGACATATAGGGCTGATCTGAAATTGTCCAGTTTGTGAGAACTGATAGAAGAGAGCATTTTGGTCCATTTTCAGGAAGCCCAAAATTCAGGGTGAGTTGGAAATGCATTGCCTGCCTCCGGCACTCCTTTGGTAGCAGCCACTGTTTCTCCCCAAATCCCTCAGGAGTGACGCTACATAATTATGCAGTGTCACTCCCTGTCCTTGAAGATATTTCTTTATTACAAAAAAAAAATGGTCACCAACTCACAGCCACACCATAAGGAGCACCCTAATGTTGCCATGCTGTCACTAAAATTTGCCACGGAAGGTCCTACCACCACCATACAAAAAACCCGAACTGAGCCAAAAGTTATATTAGCTGCACTAATGGAAATGCAATCAATCAATAAACAGAGTCAGTGGGCAATTTCAATTTGCATTCTCATCCACTAGATAATGCTTGTAAATAGGCAATGGCTGGGCATTCCCCGCTCAGAAAGAAGTGGCAGGTTCCTGCGGGATCAGGCCATTTTGTTGTCCCTCTGCTCCAGGAATGAATGGATTCTTCAATTATATTCAATGCAAAGAAGAAATACCTGCCTCCCAGCAGAGGCTGGCTGAAAGATGGCAAGGCCAGAGCAGCAGATACTTGGGGCATCCTTGATGATGGACATTTTGGGCTCACTAAAGCCCTTTGATATTTAATTAATTCTCACCTAGCAGCACTAGCATCCCCCAGTGCACACTCTCTTTGCAAGAGAAAGCTGGTGGCAAGGTAACATTTAACAGCTGGCATTTTAAAGAGGGTGTTTTTGTTAAACTTTTTTTTGCATATCTGATGTTCAAAGAATGAAAGTCTGAAGGATCAGGTCTTTAAAACACCAGATCTGTGAGATTAGAGTTCTTAAGTCTAGCCACTATTTCCCTCTCAAGGTTATCACAGAAACTGCATGTTTTAAGAGAATGTAATTCCCAGTATCTGATCGTAAAGTGAAGGGCAACCGACTGAGCAAGCTTTCATGGCTGTCTTGGTTCAACAAATCCATAGACTGCAAGGGTGGGAAGAGTTGTTTTTCTAGCCTTTTTTCGGTTTCTGAAGCAACATCTTTCATGATAAAGGTCACGCAAGGCTTTTAATCTATGAATTTATCCAGCATTGATCTTTGTCACTGCTTCAATGGCCTCCTAGACCAGCTGATTCCAGGGCAGCCTTTGAGAAAATGTCAGCCACAGGTAAGTTTCTCGCAGCCTCTGCTCTCGCTCTGGACACTCCCACCCCAAGTTTTGCATCTGGTCCCAACTCCCCAGCACCTTTCATTATGCACTTTAATCACATCCTTATGATCAAGCTACACAGCATTCAATGTGTCTCTTAAAAAAAAATCTCACAAGGGGAATCACGTTTGGTATTGTGGGTGTACAAAGCTCCCCAATTGTCTCAATGACCGCCACCTCCCCACATTTGCTACAGGAGCAAATTCCTGGTGACAACTCTTCATTGGTGAGGGGGGGGGGTGTTCAAAAGCCCAGTGCATTGTAAATTAAGGTTACCAGATTTTTTTCAAAGAATCCGGGGACACTTTTTTTTAAAAAAAAGAGAGAGAAAGTTGTTGTTATTATTATTATTAAATTAAGAAGTAATCTCTTCTGTGGTCTACTCTGTCGCACTTCCTCTGGGCCCCGGCCAGCTCTCTTGGACTGCTAGCCACCGTGGAGTAGGCTCGGGCCGGGCCTGGGCTCAGCCACATGTCCTTGCCCTCCTGGTGCTCCCCTACCTCTCCTTCTCAGTGATGGTGGCAGTGGCACGGCAAGGTCAGGGTTCCTCTTTTTTTCCTCCTTCCTCTTTCTCTCTTCCTTCTCCTTCTCCTCTCCTCCTTCTCCCTGCATCAGCTCCAGGGTTTTCCTGGCCCCGGAGTGCCGCTGGGCAGTCAGCCGGGCGCTCTTGCTCCTGGCTCAATTTGGGTCGCGGGGGGGGGTCAGCAGTTTCCCCCAGTTGGCGCACCAGGCGTCCCCAGTTCCCCCTCAGCAGTGGCGGCGGCAGTCTCAGCAGCCCGAAGCCAGCCTGGTAGCACAGACTGGCTTCAGGAGCTGCTTGCTGCCATGGTACCCACCATTTTGCCTCGCCAGAAGCCCCCATATGATGTGTCTTGTGCCGTTGAACCAATCACACAACATTCTTTCCCTACTAATAAATCTACAACACTTAAAATATAAATCCGGGGACATTAAATGAAAGCCGGGGACATTCCGGGGACGGATTTTGTCCGGGGATAAATTTGTAAATCTGGGGACTGTCCCCGGAAAATGAGGACATCTGGTAACCATATTGTACATAGGACCCACCCCATGCTTTCCCTAGAATGTCAAGGCATGATTACAGAAACTATTCCTGGTTATATTATCTTCATAAACTAAGTTTGGGTGGATTGTACAGAAGGAGGGAGGTGTAGTGTGTTACACTAGGTTTGGTGGGATTTGAAGAACCACAGCTGTTGGTGACAGTCTTTGAAGGCTATGCAAAAAATTCATAGATGATATGCAAGTTTCCACATGTATTCCAACCCACCTTTCATTTCAACACCTTTCCCCTCACTCTATTTCTTACGCAAGCAAACACACCCAAGATCGCATTCATTAATTTTCTCACATCCCCTTCCTTTGTTTTGAGGTCTGAAGCTATTTGTGCTCTCCATATGCAATCATCAAAGACATGGCAATGGGTATAAAATGTGTAGTAATAATTATCATCTTGTTTGTTGTTGGCTTTGAAACCAAAAGAGGTTTTGCTTAGGTTCTGAGGAAGGGAGGAAGAGAAACTAAAACAAACGAGAAAGAAAAATAATACTTACAGGAAGATAGTCGACAAAGCATGTGATTTAACAGTTGCACAATATGATGTTATTAATGGCACTTAAAGCTATAAGCACTTAAAAATTTTGATCATATTTTTTATCATCGCCTTCATCATCCACGTGGAATTTTGGGAAGTTGTCTGTCTCTCATACCTAAACCCTAACCACCAATAGGGACATAGAGCCCTGAGCTTTGAAAGTTGCCCTGCCCCATGACTTTACATTGTATATGCACTTACGCCTACTGTTTTAAAAAATTCAACTTCGGCTACAGAGAAGAGCAAAATGTTTGACATCATGCAAAGGCATCGCTCTCCGTCTTCATTGTATTACAGCATTACAACCGGAGCTCCGTCAGTAATACAAAGTGTGGGTGCGAACATTTTAAAACAAGGGGCTCACTGTTTAACTGAACCAAGCGCAAGGTTATTCCTCGCTTAAACAATGCAGATCCTGAAATTTTGAAGGTTCTGTGTATGATTATCAGTTTATCACAGGAATTTCTTCCAAGGGCAGGGAAAAACACTCATACCCCAATTTCCCCCTTTTAAAATTTCCATTTGTTATGTGCTGTTTTTGTGTGTTTTCTTTTCTTTTTTCGGGGGGGGGGGGAATATCCTGCTGTTAGCTTCATCAGTGTTTCAGCAGTGTCCAGGCAACTTCCTTGTGCATGGGCATTTATTTATTTATTTTTGGATTACTGAAGCTAATTCATCCATTTGTGTATGTGTGTGTATAGATATATATTTGAAATACAAAATGGGAGAACAATCATATTTGGATCCTATGCCAAATCATAAACACTGCCTTATTTTAAAGTTATTTTGCCTTTCCGTAAAATAAAATAAAAAAGAATTCAGCAGTGACAGAAGCAAGGAACTCGTCATCCATTGAAAAAGTAGAAGCCTTCTTTCCTCACTTCCCGAATGCTCTTCTAAGAGGTCTGTCTTTGCTCCCAAACATTCCCGCTGTGTTATTTGCCTTTCCAGCTGTATTACCCTGGTGTTTGGATGCTCCTCCATGGCAAGCGCACGTAGGCTGTCATTGTCAATATTCCAACTGCAGACGCCATTTCCCAGTGTGATTTCTTTTGGCAGAGCAAACTTCGGTTGTTATGGCACAGTGAAATATCCCAGGATGTTATGGAACCAGACTGAATTAGGAGTCTGTATAAGGCACATGTCTTCTTGATACATATATCCATCTGTATATATATCTTGTACGTATATAAAAGACTAACATTGGTTCATGAGAGTCAAGGGTCATTGTTTTTGTTGGTTTTCACATTTAATTCCTGTCTTCAAGTAATGCTTTGTTTTCGTGTTCCCTTTCTTTGGTTTCGCTGGGGATCATCCCGTTCTCAAGGCCCATGTGTTGCTCAATGCAGTCGGTGAGAACGGCGGTGCTGGAATGTTCCGAGTGACACCCTTTCTCGGAATCTTCCTCCTTCTTCTCCTCGTCCAAGGAGTAGTTCCGGAAGGTCTCGTAGATTTTGCGCACGTCTTCCGGGATGCTCTTCTTCAGGTCTTTGTTTTTCCTCTTGGTCAGCTTGGAGGAAGAGCCGAACTTGTTGATGATGTTGTCCTCGGAGGCCCCCTGCCCATGCTTGCTCAACTGTTCCGTCCCTTTAAGGCGCAGGTTGTTAGGCCTGTTGTTGATGCTTTCCTGAGATGAAGCCTTGAAGTGGCCACTGTCCAAGGCAGCAAAGACGCAGCGTTTCTCCGGAGAGAGCATATCCAGCGAGTGGGCTCTCTGGTCCAGCCCCAGCCGCCTGCGCTCCATGCTCCGAATCGTCGCTGCTCTCTGGAGCTTGTCGTGGATTTCCACGCTCAGACGCCGCCGCGTTTCCCTGAACTCCGCAGTCACGTTGGCTTTCCATTCAGCCGCGTGGGCTTTTATTTCACCAACCTGTGAAAAATGTCAAGAACAAAGAGCTGAAAAAAATCATAGTATTATTTTTTTAAGGGTGGGTTGTTGTTGTTGTTTGGTACTTAGAAACTCCTGCAAGTATAGATCAAGTGGTGCAGGGAGGGGAAGCGACGCTAGTTAGAATTATTCACTTGGTTTCCAAATGGCTCTTGTCTACTTCCTACTATATTGCATTCATGCCATGTAAAGCCACACGGGAGGCGATGCTGGCCAAATGTCTTCTTTCACACAAGCTATGCAAGGCATAAGAGCTCCCTTTGAGACCAGTTGTGGCAAAGCTGTGACATTCAGCTTCATACAAAATACACCATTTTGACATACAACGCCAAGCTTAAATAACAAACTGAGATTCTTCACAAGGGGCCAGGCTTTTGTGTGTGGTTCCCCCCGCCCATACACACACACCATGAGGTGGATTTCCAGGAAACCAGAAGGTCTCTGCCTTGTGTTAATAAGTATGCACCCACCCTTCTGTTTCCCCCATGTCGTTAGCTTTGATCATCAAAGTGCTTTCAGATTCAATCAATCCCCGGTCCCGTTTCTTTCACCCTATAGGATCAATACCACAGCTCCATAAAGTGCCACCAGAAAGAAAGGAATTTAAATAAAGGTGCTTCTTTTCTGTGCCCTACCCAGTGGCGGAGCTACCTGCTCCGGCACTGGGAGTGGAGTACATCCGGGGCGTGGCTGGCACATGTCCTAGGGGGCGTGATGCATGTCTCGGGGGGTGCATCTCAGGGGGCATGGCACACTTCTCAGGGGGCGTGGCGCGTGTCTCAGGGAGCGGGGGTGCGACGGGTTGCGCAGCAAGCGTCCCGGGGGTGTGCAGCAAGCACCGAGTGTCCTGGGGGTGGGGGCAGCCACAATGTCACCCCCCCGGATGGCACCCGGGGGGACCACTACCACCCTGACTCCAACTTTGTCCGCCAGTGGTCCCAACTATGACTGAGGTTAGACTGGGCAAGAGCCTTCTATGAGATGACACCTAAACTATGGGATTCTCTTCCAAGGCAGGCCTGACAGGCTCCCTCTCTATTTGCCCTCCCTTGTTTTGTCTTAGATAGGCTTAGAATTTGCTTGCTTAGCAATTTCTAACACATGATCTGGTTGTTTTCAATGCATTCCATCTGTGCCGTGAGTGTCTTTGTTTTATCAATGCTTTTTATTGATAAGTTATTATATCTATCATCACAGGGCATGATCTGAAAGGACGCAAGGCTACCACTTTGCTGAAGCTAAGGAGGCCTGGATCTGGTTAGTGCTTGAATGGGCGTCCATCACATGTATGCCAACCTGGATTCTATGATACGATACGATACGATATCTTTATTGTCATTGTCCCTTGCAGAACAATGAAATTGACAACTACATAAAACTACATAAAAACTACATAAAACTACCACAAAACTACATAAAACTACTACAAAACTACATAAAACATTCAAAAACCCCTAAAAACTCTAAAACCCCATTTTCAAACACACTATACTACAGAAACCCCTTATGCTGCATTTAGAACCAGAATTGCATTAGCGTAGAAACTGTTTTTCAGGCTGCTAGTCCTGATGGAAGAAATGCAGGATATAAGAGCAACATCATGGAAGAGGTGTTTCTTTGACCAAGCTAAAACTGTCAAGCTCCCTTGTATTTTTGCTCTTGCCAGGAGGGTGTACGGTCGCTAATGCAACCTTGCTATATTTATAGCACTGAAATTGTTGTGGGTTTTGTGTATGCCATTATATTTGCCATTATGCTGGTTTTTTTATTATGTTATTATGAAATTGTTCTAACGATGGTAGAATTTGAGATGCCTTCCCGTTTTCTTTGATGTAAGACACTTTGAGCATGAATAAAATTGTGATGGTGATAAGGGTATTGATGATGGCATCCATCTGTCTCGAGAGGCAATGGAGTGTGCCTCCAGAGGTGAACTCAAACCACTGCATTTGCAGCACCAAAGTGACCTTCCGGGAGCATGAGCCTCAGTAGAGTGGATGGAGGTCCTGGGCTGCCCCAAACGACAAGACCTTCCTCTCAGTCTTGCTAATGCAGGCCAAAGGGAAGCAGAGTGATATGTTTGGCACCAGCCTGGCTGCAGGAGTTGCCAGAAGGAGGCATACAAGATGCCATCCAACCTTTTCTTTTTTCTCCTTTATCCTGTATCTGGCCTCCTTATTTACTTCTTATAAGCTGTTTCCTTTATGAATAATTATTAAGATTTTTCTAATTATAACCTAAATATCCACAAGGAAGTCTTTTATTTGGTTGTTTGTATTGTTGCATGTTATGCTTATTGTATGTTATGTTCACGTTTAATGAGGGTGGATTTCTGTATTGGGGGTGGGGGGGTTTAATGTTATGCTGTAAATAAAATTTCCAATAAAAATTAAAAATTGAAAACAAGATGCCATCCAACCATCTTAGGGACTCCACTCCAGATTTGGGTAGGACTTACGCTTCAGCCTTTTCTTCTCCATGATAAGGGTAAAAACAAAACAAAAATGTTTTGTTTAATATTTTATACAAACCATTTTGAACACCTTTTTTTTAACAGTGGAAGGTGGGGTACAAGTCTTCTAAAACAGACTTAATGAACTAATAAGGGCAAATCAAAGCCAGCACTAACTGGCAAAGGAAAACCCACCAGGGTCAATCATTTGCCTGTAGTTACCTCCTCTTTAGTCTTCTTTGAAATAACTCGCAACCAATCTCCAATCATACTGAGGACGGCAGCAAAGTACGCAAGGCCCACGAGGATCCAGAACCATACTAAGGGCTTATACCACTCCCGGTAAGGAATTTCGGCATTTCCTCCTGAGGTGGGGAAAAAGACAGACAAAAGCAAAGTGTTTGGTTTCATCCAGGAATTTAAATGCAGAAATATCAAAGGGTGAAACCATGTTTTGTCACTGTTAAGTTATCAGCCCACCTTTTATATATTTTTTGCAATGAGATTCCTGCATTGCAGGGGGTTGGACTAGATGCCCTTTGGGTCCCTTCTAACTCTAATATTCTATAAGCATTGCAAATGACTATTTACAAAGTGATATCTTGTCACAGTGTGCAAATTGCTGCTTGATAAATTTACATTGTCCTGTGAAGGTTCAATGAGTTCTTAACCATACCTGATGCAGGATGGCAGACTTACAGTAATAATATCCAAAGTAGTCTTATTCAGAAATACACCCAGTTCAGTTCTGAAATCTGTGATTTAGGAACGAAGCCTTCAATTGGTATGGTAGTGGCTCCTTTTTTGAGTCAATAGTCTTAGTGAAACTGGACCTTCAACCACTCATTTCCTGAAACAATTTCCTCCATGCCAATGGCTTTAAAACAGCAGCACGAATCTGTCCTTTAAAATCAGGCTGTAATAACTTCTGTCCCAGCAGTCAGCACTCTGCAGGGATTGGAATATCAAATTAAATTGCTGCAAATCCGTAACTAAAATTGGAACTTTCATTTGTTTATTTCCTCTTTTCTAGTTCATAACTTTTTAAAACAATAATGATCATATTAGAGCTCTGTTTCAAAGTAATTGGGGTGGCAACTGGCAACCATATGCCAGGTCATTATGCATGGGGGGTTTTCTCCTTCAAAGTTTAAAGTTCAGGAATACAAATGTTGAATCCAAGTTTAAAGTTTGAAATGTTTTTGCTGTATTCCAAGGCAGATTTCAAACATAATCAACTTGCAGTGCTGAAGTGCAACTTTCCATGCCTATTCAGAAGCCCAACTAACATTATAGTGAATGTTTATTAGATTGCACCCTAAATTTTCACCTTTTCCATGTAGCTAAATATTGACAGATTGGCAAAGGCCCATCAATGGTGCAATTAGGTAATTTTAAGGGACCACAGCTCAATGGTATAGCATCTTCTCTGCATGCAGAAGGTCCCCCATTCTATCCCTGGCATCTCCAGGTAGATCTGAGTGAGATTCTTCAGACTTCTACCTGAAACCCTGGAGAGCTACTGCCAGTCAGTGTAGACAGTGTAGAGCTCAATGAGCCAATGATCTGACTCAGGATAAGGCAGATTCCTATGTTCCTAAGCCTGGACTTCAACAGCCCTATGGAGCTCAGTCCTCACACCACAATATACAGTAAACAATATACAGTGGTACCTCGGGTTACATACTCTTTAGGTTACATACGCTTCAGGTTACAGACTCCGCTAACCTAGAAATAGTACCTCGGGTTAAGAACTTTGCTTCAGGATGAGAAAAGAAATCGTGGGGTGGCAGCGGGAGGCCCCATTAGCTAAAGTGGTACCTCAGGTTAAGAACAGTTTCAAGTTAAGAACGGACCTCCAGAACAAATTAAGTTCTTAACCCGAAGTACCACTGTATTTGTATTACCTTACTTCAAAATGAAGCAATTTCCTGGGGCCCTCCTGTTCATTCAAGGCCCTTGGCTTCTGCCCTGGCAGCACCACTGCCCAATAACGTTTATGTATGTAGATGCGTCCCCCTCCCCTGTAATATGGTTCAGTCCATACCTCTCTCTCACTACCCCTGAGCGTTTCCACTCTTACAGGCTGTTAGCAATCTGATCCATTTCAATGAAGCCTTAAAGTGCATTCTGCCCAGCCTGTCCAGGAGCGGGCTTGAAATGATTGAAGACTCATATAAAAACCAAAGCATACAATTGCTGGCAGGGATCCAAATATTGTTTTCTCTCAATGTACGCTATACGTGCTGCCATTGCTTTATGCCTTTCCCAGTATAACAAAGGGCAAGCGGTTGTGCTCTTCGTTGCTACGCGGTGGTGAGGTTATTCTGATCGCATGTGCCCCGGTGGGAATTTGCCATAAAGCAAGATAACGGCCATCTAAGCACAGAGTTAAGGAGGGAGCATGGCAGAGGAGCTGCTTCATCCTGTGCTATTTTCTTTGTCCATCAACCGGTGCCACCTCAATCTAGCAACAGTTACAATTCCAAACACACACAAATTACCGGTAATAAGCACAGAGAGAGCCATTTTGGTGTAAATCAACCAACGTCCACTAATCTGTGTCTCTGTGGTAATGTGTCATTTATATTTTACAAACAGCTCTTTCAAGATCAAAGGGGAGATAGCCTGACAGGCTGTCAATACAGAGCAATGGGAAGGTCCAGGTAACTGACGCATTATTGGATGGCAATTGCTATTAGCATACAGTGGTGCGTTGAAGGAACTTGTGACACGGCAATTATTCTCAAGAGTTAGTCTCCAAAAAAAAGCTGCCAACAGGAAGAAAGCTCCTAGCTGATAGCATTCAACATGTTACTGGATTGTTAATGGATTATCTGGATCTGCCCAGTGCCGTAAGATTCACTACCGGCTCCATCCTTACAAATTCCGTATTCCATTCCATTCATAAATCTCAGAAGAAACCATCGAGACTGGCTACACTGATGATATAGGGAAACATGGATAAACTCAGTTCTATTCAAGTTTTTGGGGTAAACATTCCAGGGGCCAATAACTAAATCTCTGCTCTTATCACCTCTCTCTCAATCAGCTCCCCAACCCAGAGAGAGAGAGAGAGGGAGAGAGAGAGAGAGAGAGAGAGAGAGAGACTGCATGCACACACATTTTGCTTCTCCAAGGGATCTGAGTAAATAGCATTGAATGAGGAAATGGACAAAGTGTCATCCTCACTCAGCTCTATGGGTGTGGTATTCAACAATAGGTGTACTCAGAGAAGGCCCACTGAAGTTAATGAGCATGGTTAACTTAGGTTCATTCATTTTAATTGGTCTACTACTGTGAGTGGGGCTTGGTTGAATACAACCCTATGTGCTTTTCAGGTATGAGAAAGCTAACCAATTTTATCACCTCATCACCAAGGGAGCAGCAAGGGGTATGGGCCCAGAGGTTCTGTGGATACTGGAGCAGACCTACAGGGCATCACTGTCCCCATAGGCACCATGTTGCCAACCCCTGGAATATAGGATTGCAGCCTAATCTACCCAGAATTTAGTGCATTTCATAGAAAGCAAAATGATCAATTGCCTACATCCTTTCGTTTTAACACAGGGCTTCATCTTCATTTCAAAGCACTTGTTAAACACTGATAATATTGATACAACTGAAACCAGCAATGTTGGAAGAAGACGAGATAAAAAGAGGCATTTCACAATGATTCCCCGCTGTATATCCTTCATTCATGGCCTTCTTGAGAAAGCACACTGAAATGAATGGAATTTGTGGCAGCAATGACTGGTGGATTGCAACCAAAGATAGCAATATTATAAGAAGAGCTTGTCTGGATGAGATCAAATGCCCACCTTGTCCCTCGTTTGGCATCAAGTAATGGCCAACCAGATGCCTGCAAGAAACCCACAATTAAGGCACGAAGGTAATACCGCCCCCTACTGTTGCCTCCTCCTGCCAACTGATCTGAAGCACGTTATGTTAAGAGATTCTACAGAAAAACATGGAGTCAAAGCATCTTCTCTTCATCATGGCAACGGGGGGGGCACTCCCTCTTCTCTTTGACCTCCAGTCCAACATGGTATATTTGCTTTTTTGGTAATTGACAGGTACAGATATTTATGGCTCCGAATTGTAGTGTTCTCATCCCAGCAAGTACATAACATTTGCACTACACACCTCATTAGTCTTTCACTTCCAATGTCAGGTTTCTATAATGGGATGGATCCAGCGCCAAGAATTCTATTAAAGATAGAGAACATAATTCTGCAAGCTAGTGCTTAAGAAGCTGTTGTCCATTTGCTTTGGTGTGTGTGTGGGTGTGTGTGTGTATCCCTTTTTTCAAAGACTGTAAAACAGCTTTTTGGACAGCTATCATTTATACTTCTGATCTTACTTCCACTTTTGAATTTAAGTGTTTCTAAAAAATTGATGTTGTCCTCAGGAAGGCTGTTTTTATTAGGAAGAAATATGTGTGAAATAGAAAAACTGCTTTCATTTTTATGCATGGTTTGGATGCTGCTGATTCCCAGCAGGGGATACCACACACACCACTATTTTGTCAAATGACTTGCAGCTGTTCACTCATTTCTTCAGCAGGACATCTGCATTCTGAAAAGTTCCCTTTTCCAGATAATTTCCTTTCTTCCCCTACTAACCACTGCACCTCTTTTCTCTACCCCAAGACAAAACAAAGAAAGAAAGAAACGATTCCCTTTCCCCTCCAGGTTCCAATCAAACTGAAGATGCATGGATGGGTTGGGCTATACATGCAACATCCTTTTAAAATGCTAAAATCCTACCAAACATGGGGAGACTTAATCTATGCCCTCTCCCTCTCCTCCTGGTGGGATTTAAGTTCAGGCTTTTAAAAAAACTGGTTCTGTTTGTGCAGCCCTAGCTACTGAATCAGAAACAGAGCTACTGCTAGGTGCTTGGGAGATTTGCATCTGGGGCTCAGACTGAAGGGCCCAGGCATTGTACTCCTCGTGCCAAATAGGCAGCTTGTGGGCTGAAGGAGTTTGTCCTGGTGTTTTCTGTTCTGAAACACCACCATTATAATGGCCAGAAAGGGCACTGGTAACCTGAGGAACCAATGAAGGCTAGGAATTGCCATATTTCAAAAAGTGAAAATCCAGACACAAAAGTTGTTGAGCCTTTTTTGCTCAGCCTTGGGATCTGCCCACTAGCCCATCCATGACCATATCACTTCCCTCTGGCCCTTGACTCTTGTTGATCAGACTCTTTGCCTGATCCAGTGTCTGACCTCCAACCTGATTACCCTCAACTGGATTGCATTACAGTTAAATTTAAGGGGAGGGAATCAAAACAAATTCTGCAAAGTACTGTCTATTTCCAAACACCAGTAGCAGAGTAGAACTTCTTCCCCCAGAATGTACCACCAGGCCAAATTACATGCCTCACCTGCCACAAAATCACCAAAGCCAACTGTGGTCAGAGTGACAACCACAAAGTAAAAGGAGTCCAGAACTGACCAGTCTTCAATATATTTGAAACTGACTGCAGGAATAGTGACAAAGACGATGCAACCAGCCAGGATGAAGAGGATGGTTGAAATCACCCGGATCTTGGTCTGACTCACTTGTTTCTTCTGCAAAAGAAAATGAAATGGAATCAAAACTTTATTTGCGATTGTTAATGCACTGCTTCCTGAAACCAAGAGAAAATGAATCATTTTCCTGGGAGCACTTCAAAGCAGTCTACAGAAAGATAAGGCAATAAAAATCAAGTACCGGTAAATTTTATGGCATTGCAATTTAATGCCGAATGTACAAATGCAACACAGGCCTGTGGCCCAGATACTCCTAACTGGTCCTGCTAGCGGAAGCCCATGCAAGGAATTCCACTACTGCTATGTCAGTCTGCATTTCTTAGTGCATAAAGTATTGGCTGATGTGTAGAGATCTTTCCTATTCTGATTAATACAAGAGGATTCTAGAAGCTACTAGAAGGTTCTGAGTGAGAGAAGCAGACAGAAGCTTCATGATTGTTTGGGTTATACCTTCTGAGAAGCTGGTTTGAACTAGTTCCCTTATATCTTCCAATTAAGGTCATGCTGACTATAAATATAGGCCAGAAGGAGCCTGGGCCTTACTTTCTCTTTATATCTCTTCCTTTTGGTGTGGTGTTCTATACATAGTATGCTTAGTGTTAAGTTTTAGTCTTGTTACACATTTTTGTAAGTGTTGCAACTGGGTTTTTTATAGACTGTGCCAATCATGAATAAGTTCATTTGCCTTCAGCACAAGTAAAGCTCTGCTGGGTGAAATACAATTGCCTCTGGTCTATTTTTGGGAACTCTGCTACATGTTGAAGGTTTTCCTCCACACATATGACAGTGCCATGGTGAGGTATAAAGGAGTGGGAAGAAAGATTACAGTATAGCTACCTTAATTGGAGAGAGTTAACACATATTTTCAATTTTCTCATTGAAATCAAGGAGATATCGAAGTGCCTCACATTGGCTGGCTCATGGCCTAGTTCCCACTGAGGTGATGAAATAGTGCCTTGGCTGTTCCACTTGTCTCTGGGGTGATGGATCGTGAGATGGAATTGTCCAGAAATAAGAGAAATACCCTACAACTAGAATTTGAGATAGAGTTCCAGGCAAGAGTGGGGGGGAGAGAACATTCAATTATAAGAGCCCATTTGGCAGTGATTTACCACATATTTTGAAGGCACATGAGGCCACCACCTTGCTGAATCTAAGCAGGTCTGGGTCCAGTCAGTGCTTGGATAGTAACTCTAAGAACTGCCTTGAGTTCCACAGAAGAAAGGTAGGTTACAAATGAAATTCAAAACAAAAACATACCACCTCAGTGAGAATTAGGCCTGTTCCTCTCATGCTTCCCAACTGGTTTTTTCAAACCAGGAATGTGCTTTAATGCAGAGCTGTGATCTCATTTCAGATTAGATCACCTAGAAAGGAAATAGGGTTTCAGAAAACTCTCTCTACCTCATTCCCTATGGAAATGCCAGCTGCAAAATTGGCAGTTACCAATCCCACCTGCCAACGAGCATCTCCATTGCTCTGGACTGAAGAAGCTGAAACTGCATTTCCTGAGCTCTGAAAAGGTCACCTGAATGTGAAATGTTGCAGTCAATCGCCAGGTAGCAGCTTGGAAGGGGGGCAGAATAATAATCCCAGAGGTCTCAGCAACACAATTTTGCTTCTAAGACTGCAAGTTATTATTCCCTCCTGTAATTTTCCTGGTTATATGTCTGCTCTGTGTCTATCTTTGAAGAAATCAAATGAACAAGGGAAACATAACCCAATAAAAAAACAGCCCATCAAATCCACGACGTGCGATATATCTGTATCTCTAGTTCTCTTCAGGCTTTCCTTTAAAATATTAATTAACACATAGGGGAGGCAATGGGGGCAAATGCAATAATTCCACAAACCCCTCTGTCACAAAAGGAGACTGCAGTGGGCAGCTTTTTGTACCCACTGCGGTTCCCTGTAGGGTTGTGCCTTGAATTCAGACAAATTCCAAATCAAGATCTTTGGACAGATCTGGGCCTCTTCCAAGCCAAAGCAGGATATCTCCAAAGCCCGACCAAGTGTTGCTGTTTTTGAAACCTTGGTAGTTGGAAACCCAGGCTGATCTATTGCAAATCATCTGGAAATCTACCAGTAGATCCCAGTCTACCTTCTGCCTACCCTTCTTCCAAGCTCCCCTCCAAAGCAGACCCTCATTTTGGAGGTAGTCACTGTCTGCGCAGTGCACCTAACCTGCTAAAAACATGAATAACAAAGCATGCAAGAGGGAGCCTTAGTTTGACAGGGATCTTACTGCTGACAGGTAGAGAAGTGCTCACAATTTATTTTACCCCCTGCTGTGTCCAACTCTGGTTTCTGCTCATCCAAAGAAACACATAATGCAGTATAAGCACTAAAATATGAAGCAACTGCAATCCCATAAAATCGACCATGCTTCCAAAAGACTGCAGTTGCTAAATTCAAATATGTATTATTGATGGTTTGCCTTCTTTACAAAAGCAACCTCTCAGCCCCCTTTTGTTTTTCTCCTAGAGATGCCAACGCCGTATGGGGTGCACAAATCTTCTGAGGTAATGGACTGCAGCTTTTCACTTTCATTGCTGGCACGAACAACATCAGGTGAGTCATAGACTCTACTAAACAACCACACCATTCTCAATTATTGCACACACACACATGCATGCTAATAATGGGCAGTATCCTGTTGTTCAATGTTTAGAGAAGGGTCTAACTGAAAAGAACTATGTTTAACTCAAAGACTATCTGTCTTGTGTTTTCTACCCTTTCATTTACTTCAGGGGCTTAGCTACCTTCGTAAAAAATAAAGCACTTTACATGCATAGCTGTCAATGTTTCCCTTTTTTTAAGGGAAATTCCCTTATTCCAAATAGGATTCCTTGCAAGGAAAGGGAAAAGTTGACAGCTATGTGTTATAACACAGTGACACCAGATAGCACTGTGGAGTCCCGTCTTTCGCCCCTGGGATTTCCCTTTTATGATTCTGTTAAATGTGTTGATCCAGCCCAGGTGAAAATCATTCAGGACCCAACATATATACATTTTAATCTCCAGGTGGCCGCTTCATTTAAGGGAAAGCAAATGATGGGAAGGGGCTGAAAGCTAACAGGGAAATGTGTGCATTGATCTTGATTAGAAATAACCATGCTGGAAAAATGAATGAAGTCTTTATTCATTTCACCTTTACTAATGTTAGGCATTTTTAAAGTGCTGGTTTTTCAGCATTCTTTTGTTTCTACTCACCATGGTGATTTTGTGCAAAATGCAAGCAATGGAAAGGGGGATAATGATCATTGGCCCAGTTAGGCTGTGATTTAGCTAGCATATAGCTCTGGTGTTTGGAAAATGTGACTAAATCTTTACCCTTGATCTGAGAGGTAGCCTCAATATCAAACTGTCCTTTTCGCACAGAGCGGCCCAGATAACGCAAGCAGTGCAGAAAACTCTTAATCGCACATTCAATACTTGCTTGTTTCCCAGCTCCATGTGATGGGAATAATTGGTTTGGACTCATAAAACCATTGCAGTGAGATTTAAAGTGGAGTGTTTAAACACCACATTTAGTGGGGAGGCATGCAGCTAAATCCCCATATCACACTGACTTTAAAAGCAAAACAAAACCCACGTGTCTTTGAAACAGCAGCACCCTACCTTTCTAAAGCAACGAGAGCAGATTCTTAAGAGTTGAAGTCACAACAGTTTGCAACATCTCCATAGCTAATATTCTAGAGGAGCCTGCACAGAATAATGCAGTTCACACTGCTAAAAAATATCAGGTAAGGAAATCACCAGGAAAGCAGAATGGAATGTTGTCTGAATGCAGCCGAAATGATGTGGTGGTCTCACCACTCATATAAGCATGAAATTGCTATGCACAAGTGGTACTAATCGTGATAGTATATGAAGTTGTATTTTACTAGTAATTGTGTCTAGTGAGCAGCACTTTTGGAGCATCTTCCAAAGCTTACATATTCAATCGTCCGCTCCCCACAGGAACAGAACAAGACACAGGAATTCCTGACTCCACCCAGTGCAATCTAATGACTAAAATAAATAACAACTCTATCCACATACAGTGTTCAGCTTCTTACACTGTCATATGTGTTAAGTTGTGGGTGAACATATCAGATGACACAGTGATTCTTCCAAAGCAGCTCTTTATTTGTAAGCTGGAACAGAACTGAACTGAAGAGCTCAGTCAGCCTGCTTATATAGAGCTCCAGAACAACGTAACTGTAGCAACTTTCTAAAACTATCCAATCACTGAACGTCACTTTCGATCCTTCATTTGCACAACTATCTATAGTATCCCCCTGCTGGCCCAGGGTGAGAACTTCAGTACATAACAATATGCCTGAGCCTTTTGCTCAGGCATGGAGCCCTTTTACACTTCAGCCATGAAGCAGCTCATTAACCATAGTTTCCTCTTTCATCAAAAACACGAAGCTATAATAGTAGTAGTAATAATAATAATAATAATAATAATACCGGTAATTTATTATTTATACCCCACCAATCTGGCTGGGTTTCCCCAGCCACTCTGGGCTGCTCCCAACAGAATATTAAAAGCACAATAAAAGATCAAACATTAAAAACTTCCCTAAACAGGGCTGCCGCCAGATGTCTTCTAAAAGTCAGATAGTTCATTATTTCCTTGACATCTGCTGGGAGGGCATTCCACAGGATGGGAGCCACTACCGAGAAGGCCCTCTGCTTGGTTCCCTGTAACCTCACTTCTCGCAGGGAGGGAACCACCAGAAGGCCCTCGGAGCTTTGGTTACCAGCCATGGAAAAAGCCAGGATATTAATCCACAGTTTGAAATTGATTCAGTGATCTGTTTTATTCTGAAGCTGGCAACCATAGTTTTCCTGGTTTTGACGAAAGAAGAAAACATGGTTAATTATATAGTTTCACTGTAGTTCAAACAAAGGGGTTCTGTGTATGAGCAAACAGTTCATGGATATCACAGCTTAAGAAGCACAATTCATTCCTGTTTGGATGAAACGGGAAACCATGGTTAAGCAGGTAGCTCACAGGAAAGGAATGAAGGGTGTCCATGTTTGTTTGTACAAAAGGTTTGTGCACATTTTTTGTAACTAAGTTTCTAAATTATTTTAATGTTCTTTTTTATTATTGCAACCTGCTCTGGGAACTTAGGGTAAACGGCAGAATAATAATAATAATAATAATAATAATAATATCAGAACTACCTCTCTGCCTCCAACTTGTATCTATCCTTTGAAACCTGAACTGATCATTTTGGTAAACTAAGGAAGTTAAGAGGGAAATAACACATTCATACAGGGCAGTCAAACAAAGCACTGCTTTGAGGGCTATTTATACCAACAGCATAATGCTGCTGAAATTGGATTCAGTTTGATTTTAACCTGCAGCCATGGTTTATATCCCCCCCCCCAAAGGCCCTGAGGCTTAAAGCAGTTTTTGATTCAGTTGAGTTTCTAATAAGAATGCAAAGCCCAGGTTGGCCAGAATTCTCATCTGAAAATACAAACACCTCCCTTTGATTTTCCATTCCATTTTAACATTACCATAAATCAGGCATGGCCAAACTTGGCCCTCCAGCTGTTTTGGGACTACAGTTCACATCATCCCTGATCACTGGTCCTGTTAGCTAGGGATGATGGGAGTTGTAGTCCCAAAACAGCTGGAGGTCCAAGTTTGACCATGCCTGCCATAAACGGTACGAGAGAGACTCAAACATAATTTAAACTTCATATATCAAAATGTTCGCAGCACGAGAGCAGAATACCTCTGGACATCACCTTAAAGAGGTTAAATTATTATCTCAGCAGTTCTGAAGCCTGTGTGCAATTAGAACATTCGGAGGTGTTTGCAAAATGTGGTGTAACCAAATTTAGCCCTTTCAAATTCAGTTCAGCTAAAGCTGAACTATAGTTTTATTCCTGTGGGAGAAATTACCCTTCTCCTTTTCCCAGTTATGCTCCAGGAGAACTGCTAAAAGTACTGTTGCTGCAGCGAGCAACCGAACTGCTCACAGAAGAAATTGCTTGGGAAGAGTTCCAAGTTGTGGAGCACATCCCATCGGCACAGAAAGAACAAGCCTTCTCACACGCACACATCATCAGCCAGCAGAGTTAGAGCAAGGTTTGTGTCCAAGTCAGTTCCACTGCATAGCGATGGAACAAGTTAGAGGACACGCAAGCAGGAACGCAGTTTCATGTTGTTTGAGTGCGAGAGAGAGACTTTGTGCAGGCCACTAGAATGAGTGGAAGGTTGCCTGAATGTTAATGGCCCAGAGATTGAAAGAGGACAAACTCCTTACCAGAGAAGAATGGCAGATTAAGTTGATGGACTATGCCGAAATGGCAAAAATGACCAGAAGAATCAGAAATCAGGAAGACCAAAATTTTAATAAGGAATGGGGAAGATGCATACCTGTAATGTATCTTTAAAAACCATTGTAAACAGCTAAAATCATTAGTAGGATTGGAATAACACTTGTAGTTTCATGTTGAATTTTGGATATAATTGAGATGAAAAAGATGTGGGAGGAAATGGTTAACAAAAGGAAGCACAAAGGGGAGGAGGGAAGTTCTGGAGATTCTTTGGAATCTTGTTTTTATGTTGGTTGTTGGATAATGGATTGTAAAATTTTAAACTGAAAAATTAAATATTTTTTTATTTAAAAAGAAAGAAAGAAAGAAAGAAAGAAAGAAAGAAAGAAAAAGAATCCTTTAGTACACTGATTTCCCTTAGGGTCAAACAGGAAACATCAAAAGGAGAAGACTATAAGCTACAGCTAGCACAAAAGCAATTTCTACATACTTAGAGCTTTACAGAAACACGGTTGATTTAGTTGGAGCTCAGTAGGGGAGATTCTTCAAGTCCCAGTCAAGATTAACTTCACAGAAACTAGAGTTTTGCTCTTTTCATGGGTCCTCTAGCTTAAGTCAGGGGATGCTGGAGTTCATCCCAGTACCTGATCTGGAGAGTCACTTCCTCCCAACCACCCCAACCCGCAGGCAAATTCCTTCTGCAGACTTAGAAAAATATCCTAATAGAGGATATGATTAATATTAATTTGCATATGGTTCTGGAGACAGTCCCATGGGATCTGAGAGCTGTGCCAAAAGGAGGAAAGAGGAAGTGTATTCATCCGCAGATCTCAAAGTATTGTAGGTTTTAAAAGCATTTATAAATTATCTATAGTGATAGCCTGGCAGACTGAAAAGCGGACTGCCTTGGAGTCCAGCAGAGATAAGTGGAAGGGGTAGATCCTGGCAAAACATGGCACTGATACCCTGTTGTCACAGATACCCTTTCAATCCGAAAAGTCCAACTTGGGTTGCATAAGAAAAATCACTCAAAGAAAAGCAGTTTTAACTCCTCATTCCTAAGAAAAAAAGAGCCTTGAGAGACCATGTTTCCTAGTGGTTCAACATCCTTTATAATGAGATGAGCATAAGGGAACATAGTTTGGATGCCCTCCACCATGAGTCCCCTTCCAAACCCGCAATCCTGTATCTCTGAGGATAGAATGTAAAAGGGGAAGCTTACAGAACCAGTTCCTTTGTCAAGGCAATGGCTTTGGCTGGCTACTTACAGTTAAGTGCCTTGATTTAGCCTATCCGAAGAAGCTGCCCTGTGCTATAGAAACAAATGGGTGGGCTTTCCCTCACTTAGCTTCTACACAGAACAAGAGTGTTTTTTGTTGTTGTTGTTTTGTTTTTGGTGTGTCTGTGCAGGTATATGTCTTGCTCTCTGCTGGATTTCAGGGCTTCCCTGGAAACCAAATGGGGAAGCAAAATCCATTGGGTTGTTGATGCTACAAGTCCCTCCATTTAATGCTGAGGTTGTATATGTGTGTCAATAAAACCATATACAGTCGTACCTTGGATCCCGAACGCCTTGGTACTCGGACATTTTTGCTCCCAAACGCCACAAACCCAGAAGTGAGTGTTCCAGGTTGTGAACGTTCTTTGGAAGCTGAACGTCCAATGGAGCTTATGGGGCTTCCTGCAACCAATCAGAAGCCGTGCTTTGGTTTCCAAACATGTTGGAAACCAAACGGACTTCCGGAACAGATTCCGTTTGATTTCCAAGGTACAACTGTATCTTAAAGACACCACAGTCACCAATGACCTTCATTCCAAGGAAACCAAAATTGGGTAAGCACAGGAACCCTGGAGTCTCTCACTACTCGGAGACTCATGTGGTGCATAGCAATAATCTGGCACCAGATCCCAGGTGCCACTCAGGATTAAAGCAAGCGTTGTCTCTCTATTTTTTGTTCACGTGACTGTTAAGAAACAATCATTTGCTGCATCCAGACATTTTGTCATATGTTGTTTTGTATATATTGAGGCCACAATCCTATACATGCCTAACTGGGAGTAAGTCCCACTGAACTCACTGGAATTTATTTCCAAGTTGACATTATGGGGATGAGCTGTTAGAAGTCACATTTTGTTGTCTGTATGGTTATTTTTAACAGTCAATGACCTGCTTTGCACGTGATGCAAAGCTATGGTTTGTTTAACAAACCACAAGTTAATGAGAACTGAACCATGCATTTTTCTACAGGCAACCACATCATGGCTTGTTTCTCCAAAGTTTTGTTTCTTTTCCAATTGTTCTTGCCTCATGCCTTTGTAGCTTGGTGGGCATCTGGGGTGGGACAGTCACACAACCCATGATTAAAGAAGAGTGCAAGTTTGCACGTACACACCAAGCCATAGTTAAAACAAACCAAGGCTTATAAGCTAAAAACAAACCATGTCTTCAGAGCTTGGTTTCTTGGTAGCATACAAGTCACTGGACAGGGTTTGAAGTACCAAACAAGCCATAGTTCAATACACTGTATTTGAATAAACCATGGCTTAGCATTACGTGCAAACCAGGTCAATGCAAGGGTAGCTCATTATGTATGTTATGTAAGTCACTCTTTAAAGCATGTACTTGTTTGCTTTCATTAGGTGTTTTTTCCGTGTAATTTGGGCTTCTTCTTTTTTTAACAACCAAGCAGTATATCAGATTTGTTAAATAAATAAAATAAAATAAATATAACACCAGTATTGGATCTTTCTACACGTTTTATACCCAGGGATCTATTTCATACAAGTTTTATATCCAGGGATTTTTCAATATAGGTTTTCTAGCCAGATATTTTCACAGGGCCACCAGTTCTGATATGACCACTGTATCTATTTTCTCTTCTAGTCTACAAGCACTCCAAATTCATTCATCTCCTGATATATATATCAGCAGTTATGAAGATGACTGCATTTGGAGAGGTATAAAAAACCCATTTCCCCAAAATTTCAAGGCATATTTATAACGCAAGAAGTGTTTTTAATACCTAATTCTCACTGTGTCTTGCCACCCAAAATCTTCTAGCCATATGTATGACCTGTCATTAGGGTTCAAGACTAAAAAGAGATAAAACCATTTCAATCTTACTCGAAAAACCTTTTCCACTCGTGCGATGCTCTTTCCAAAGATGGTCCCAAGCTGGTCACCAATGCCGGCGAGCAGAAAGCCAAAGAGTGGAATCCCAAAGATGGCATACAAAATACAGAAAATTTTTCCACCTTCTGTGCTTGGGGCAATGTTTCCATACCCTGGAGAGAGAGAGAGAGAGAGAGAGAGAGAGAGAATCACCATCATCTCTCATATCAGTATCTGAAGAGTCATTGAGGAAATGAAAAAGGGAGAGATGCTAAATAACAAAGAAGGTATACAAAGAAAGAGGAATTTCCCACTTCCATTGCCCCACATCTGCTCGTGAGGTTATATCCAGTTACACTGCACATGTGGAATGAGTTCCTCAAATGCAACAGAACCTCCCCTCCCTCTCTTCCAACCACGCACCCCCAGATCTGCTCTAGGAATTTCTCCAAGCCTCTGGAGCACATTTGTGGGTGGTGCAAGAGCTGCAAAGGTGGAAGAACCTCTGTTGCATTCACAAAAATCATTCTGCACATGCAATGATTTACTTGGAGTTTTTAGTATCTCACTTGCTTTGTGTTGCCAGAAAGAGAATAAAAATGGGGTGTGGAGAGCCTTGCATACACCTTGCCTTAATTTATACACCCTGTGGGGCTGAACTTCCAGCATTATGTACATCTGCACAAGTGTTCAACTTGATGTGAATCCCATAAACAAAACAAACTTGTTAGCACTCTATTTCTTTTGTTTCCATTGTTAACTTTATTGAGAAGCTTTTTCTAACCTATTCAACATGTACCACATATCAAAATACTGAACGAAAACAAAAGGAGTGGTGGTTGAGTCCTCACTGACAAAGTAGAACTGAGATACGGATAAGAGTTCTTGGCAGTCAGATACTGGCATCTGATGTTGATGATCATGTGGAGATTGTTCCAGCATATTTTAAAGATGTCTGGGTGGCATTCAACAAAGTTTTACTCACAGCAGAAATTGAAATTAGTGGATCTAGCTTAGTCATGTTAATTACGGTAATTACAATGGATTCTACTTCAATAAATGCCAGCTTATGTTAGCAACTCCTCAAAAGGAATAACGCCACTGGAACATCACAAGAAGAGCCTGATGGATCACGCCAATGGCCCATCGAATCCAGCATCCTGTTCTGACAGTGGCTAACCAGGGACTCAGTTATACAGCTGCAAATGAAACGTTTTAGGCAGGCATAGGCAAACTCAGCCCTCCAGATGTTTTGAGACTACAATTCCCATCATCCCAGACCACTGGTCCTGTTAGCTAGGGAAGATGGGAGCTGTAGTCCCAAAACATCCGGGGGGCCAAGTTTGCCTATGCCTGGTTTTAGGTGTGTCTTAAGTGCAATATACAATGTGACACTAGATGGCAATGGTGAGCCTTATGGAAAATTCGATGTATTTTTAAAAATGCTTTTCAGAACGGTTTTTATATGTGTGTAGATTCCACCCAGGTGCTTGTGGAAGACCCACAAGCAGGATTCAAGCAAAAGAGCACTCTCCCCTTGTGTGGTTTCCAGCATCTGGAATTCAGTATTACTGCCTCCAACTATGGAGTCAGGACATAGCCATCATGCTAAGAAGCAGGATGACACAATGCTGTCTTCCCATAAAATAAAAGTGAAGTGATACCTGATTACTGATTATCTGACTGCCTTTTCACACATTGCACACAAAAAACCCACTAGTCACCAAGTGTACTCAACAGGGAGCCACAGCTAGTCCAAATTCTCTTATTGCCTATCTACAATACACATTTTCAAACACAAATTTCTCAGGTTCAAACTTCCCATTTTTAGTTGTACTCTTTTCAATAATAATAATATAATAAAACCAACCCAGAAATAATTTTGCAGCCATTACCAACTGAACCTTTAACCATTCCCTGGGTAAGAAGAAATTGTAGCAAATTCTTTTTAAATAAGAGTAATGGAAATGAATACGAAGGGCTCCCAACTGATTTCTGCACAGAGATAGAAGCGGACCGTTGACGCAAATAAAAGGAACCTTACCGTTGTTCCTTTCTCTTCCTCACTGAACTGCACATCCGCCGAAGCCCTTTTAGAAGCTATTAGCACTTTGCTCAAAGTGCATTATCCTCACCTGAATGACACTGAAGTGTGTGGTAGTGCAGCATTTTGTGATTGTTTGAACTGTCAACATGCTGAAACATCCCTTTACTTAACCCACATGTAAAGAAATCTCTGGTTAAATGAATGGGAGAAGCAGCATGGTTCATTCACAGGCCTTGGACATATTGCAGGTATTGGGTATGTTGACCCTGACTTGCAAACCTCTCTGATCTCATCTGAGGTTACATTGGGTTTGTGCCCACCAAAAGAAGCTGCACAATACCCAAAAGCAAGAGTTCTGTTCCAAATATGAAGTGCTTATTCACAGGTACTTATTTACTAGATTTAATCTAGCCCTTTTCCCCGAAGGCAACCAGGGAAGCAAACAAGATGAAGATTTTTTAAAGCAATCAAATATATTCACAGTGGGGGAAAATCAAGGTGGCCAGGAATTTGGAACAGAGGAATCTACCTTCTATTGAGTTAGAAGGGAAAAGAAGGTAAAGGACCCCTGAACGGTTAAGTCCAGTCAAAGGTGACTATGGGGTTGCGGCGTTCATCTCGCTTTCAGGCCAAGGGAGCAGGTGTTCGTCCACAGACATTTTTCCAGGTCATGTGGCCAGCATAACTAAGCCGCTCTGCTGCAACAGGACACCATGACGGAAGTCAGAGCGCATGCAAATGCTGCTTACCTTCCTGCCACAGCAGTACCTATTTATCTACTTGCACTGGTGTGCTTTCAGACTTCTAGGTTGGCAGGAGCTGGGAAAGAGCACCAGGAGCTCACCCCATCGTGTGGATTCAAACCACTGACCTTCTGATCAGCAAGCCCAAGAGGCTCAGTGGTTTAGACCACAGGACCACCCGCGTCCCTATTACCTTTACATATTGAGTTAGATCACTGGTCCACCTAGCTCAGTGCCATCTACACTGACTGGCAATGGCTCTCTTGGGCTTCATAGAGGATACAATCCCAGCTAGAAGCAGCTTGCCAGCTGGAGTTGAGCCAGTGTGGTAGCTTCCTGGTAGGTAGCGCAAATGCACCAACGGGGTGCAATCCAGCATTCTTGCAGATGTAGATGCACCGTGCCAACCTCCTGACTTCCCTACCCTCTCCCTTCCTGTAAGCAACAGCTACCGACCTGCCAGGAAACCAGCACAGCAGTTCCTTCCTACCTGACAAGCCACTTCCTTTCCCAACCCTATGTAAAGATGCCAGGGACTGAACATGGGACTTACTGCATGCTCTACCACTCAACTGTGGTCCTTCCCCAATTGCTGGCTGAAATGACTCCAGCCTCTCAATTGAATCACGGTCCTCATTCACTGGCACTGGCGGATTCACTGGGGTACTTGGAAATCTGCCTGATTGGGGGAGTGCAGTTCTAAGAGACAGGGTCCTTTTCTGCTGGTTCAAGCACAGCCACCCCGACCGAGGAAACATGTAAGGATAGCATCTATGTGCCAATGAATGGGGGATCCATTTCAGGGAAGAGCCTGGAGCCCTCCCAGCCAGCAGATCTAATTTGAGATGTGAACTGCAATGTCTATTCAGACATCACACAAAACACACAGGACAAACATTTCCTCAATCAAGCCAAAATACAGTTCTGATTGATAATGCCCACCAGGAACTGGTGCAATCAGAGGGAGCTATTGCCAGGATCTAGCCACAGGAGCGAGATTGTGTGAACCCATCTATACATTGTGCTCATCTCTATAAGAAGTACTTTGGGATAGCAGGCCACTGCCTGGCCCTCCATTTAAATGGGATTCACAGCAGCTCAGGAGTTAATTGCCCTGAAAACCTGTAGACCCCGCCATTTCCACCATTTCTTCATGGAACTGAGTTCCTAATGAAACCTATCATTTGATTAATCTGAAACACGTTTTTGTCAACACGGCAGGATACAAGACTTTTGCTAAAGGAAAGCCAAAGGAAAGCCATGCTTTGTCATGCTACTGCATACGGCCTTTGCAAATTGACTCCTGATGGGAGTGTGACTCAACAGAGTAATCACATTTTCAGGCTGGAGTTCTGAATTATGTCCAGTCTTTATCTCATATTATACCTAGTGAAATGTCCAGTTCTTACACATACCCCTCTCCCCACATTTCCCAGTTTATGTGAATCTTCAAGAGATTATCTGACATTCTTACACACACACACCCTTTTTAAAGCACTTATTTTCATGCATTGTCCAAGGACTTTGATTTTCAAGATATGTCCCCTAACTTTTAGATTAAAGCAACATCAGTCCTGCCATGATAGGAACAACTGCAGGTTTTAAACTTGCCTATTGTCTCACAGATAACTCAGGGAGTTTTTTTCTTGGATTAAGTACACCCTTGTGCAAATTAATTGAAATGAAACAATTGAAACAATGAACTTAGTAGTACAAAACTCACATATACATGTACAAAAGTCACATATACGTACATTAGTAACGGATATGTCCTCCGCTATCTTTCAGAAGCATTTGAACACAGTTTGTCATGGAGTCTACTAGTTTTGAACAGTCACTGTTGTTTTTCGGATCCCTGTACCACACTTGAATCAGTGCCTGAATGAGCTTCTCCATAGTCGTACAGTCTACAGCACGGAGGTGACTTTTGCGTGTAGCCCACAAATTCTCAATGCGATTTATGTCCAGGGAATTCCCTGGCCAATCAAGTACCTGTATTTGCTGCTCTGTCATGAATTTCTTCACCACTTTTGATGTGTGACAGGGGGCTAGGTCCTGCTGCAATATCCCAGTACCGTCAGGATACCTCTTTTCCAGCTTTGGAATAACACTCTTTCGTAGAACTTCAATATATTGTGGTGAGCACATCATTCCTTCTATTGGCTGCAGGCTTCTGACACCATAATGATCAACTGACTATTTGTGTTTGTTTTGAGTACAGGATTACGAGTAAGACACAAAACATGCTTTGTTTCAATTAACTTGCACAAGGGTGTATTTAATTTCCAAACTCTTGTTTACAACGAAGGCCAAGGAAAATGTGATGCGATTTACACAATCAATACTACACAAATGGTGGGCAAGTTTTAAGCAAACTGAAGGTATGGGCATTCTGATCTGCATCAGGAACCTGGAATGTGGGGAGGGGACTTTAATCATTTGCCATTTGCATCCCATTGCAGTCCTCGGACTCACCTACATTCATAAAGACAAAGCGCTTTATATGCGTTATAATACTGCGACACCAGATGGCGCTGTGGAGTCCCATTTTTCGCCAATGGGATTTCCCTGTATGAAGTTTACAACGCATTTAACTGAATCGCTTTTTTGATGCGTCTAGATCCAGCCCTCATCAGGATCACCACACACACACACTGTCTGCAGTGAATTGGAACTACTTCCCAATGCAAATAGCTTCCAATATTTGCAATTTACTTTTTAAAAGCCCAAGGCCTTCTCCAGTGCTTTCATTAACAGAGGTACATTTAACAACAACAAAAAGGAGCTTTCGTAGCAGTGGTTCTTCAGGTATGGAATGCCTTGCCTAAAAAGAGGTTCACCTGGTGACTACACTGCAGTTCAGACAAATTTATTCATCCAGACATTTTAATTTCTTGCAATAAGGATTTGGAACAACATTGACTTGATAGTGCTATGCAAGGGGCTTCACAAGGCCTCTCTTTCAGAGTGCTTTTGCCAAGGGCTTCCTGAGCTCTGAAAATCAGCTGACTGTTGGGTTTTGCAAAGCATCATATCGCATAGCACTTTGCAAGGGGCTTCACAAGACTTGGCACTCAGCTGACTGTTGGGGCTTGCAAAGGCTTTACTGGTGCTGCCGATCAGCTGACTGGCTGTGCCTGTAAACCCCTGTTGTGTCAGATCTCTTCACCTGCCCCACATGTGACATCATATACGATGACAGGTGGGTGTCAGTTAGCCAATGGCTTGTTGTGTCAAATGGGGAGGCCTATTTAGATTTGCAGGTTGGAGGTTTCCCATTCTCTCAAATATATATATATATATATATATATATATATATATATATATATATATTCTAGCTACCCATACATGCAGACAATCTAATCCAACAGACGTTCATTGATATCAACGTACTGCCACTTAGACAGACTTCATTGCTTCACTATCTGTTGTGCTGGGCTTCCTCAACTCACCCCTTTTCATTGAAACAAGAGGCAGAAATGAAAAGTATAGTTACAGCACCAAAGTTCAGACCATTTTACTGCCTACTCCATTAAAATCCATTTCATTTCAGCGGTTTGCAGCCTGGCAATAAAAATGCACTTTCACATTGGAAACATGCAGCCATGTACAGAGATCAGACCAAGAATGAATTATTCAGACCCAGAAACAAGCAAAACAAAGGATAAGCTTTTTAGATTAGATCTGTCATGAACCCTGCAAAAGACTGTAGGATCCCTCTGTCCCTCCATCACTCTCTCCTCTCTCACATACACACTTCTTAAATGGATTAGCGCCAGCATTTCCCTTCAACACTACATCTGAAAGGATACTAGATCTGAAAGGATACTACATCATGGCATAGTAGTAGCAGAGAGGCACTGTGGGGCAAAATGAGCCAATGGTTGCTTTGATGTCCTCAGAAGTGTTCGATCCAGGAACTCTGAATAGGTGTTGCCCTCAGTGATGTCAGTAACCATCACAACAACATTAAATTCCCTAGATTCTCTCTGATTGGATTGAACTGGATCACCCATGTGAGTCAAACAGGAAAGAGAAAGCAGCCCTAACAAGGGGTGGAGGGGTGGACTCTGGCAGAATATCAGCAGCTAGGAGAAAGAATATGACTAGAACAGGGCCTGATCCATCAGGGCTCCTCTTATGTCCTTATCAGAGTAGAAACCTGATCATGTAGCATCCCAGCTCCTCAGAAGGTCTGTATGCATAGAGATCTACTTGCATAGGATTTCCCTTGTTGGGAATGTTGCATGACTATACACAGCAAGATCAGCCATGCAGCTCTTCGCCCAATTAATAGGTGGCCCCTATCCTCACATATAGTGCTGCAGTACATTCGCATATTGATCCAGAAGCTGAGCTTCCTATGAACTTGATCTCTTATCATTTCAATATTAATTTTAATTGAGATACTTATATTTTTATTTTACCCCCGCTAAAGACCACCTCATAACCCAGAGCCAAAACAGGGAGCACCATCTGCATTAACATCAGTAGCACAATTGTAAGATGACAAGAGTTTGGATTACGATCTATGCTATTATTTTCTGTTTGTTCTCTCTCACTCTTGTCATTGTTAAGTTCAGAATGCAGGATGAAGTTTCAGCCCCTGGAGAAATGCACTCTGCTCATTCTTCCAAGAGCCAAGAACCTGCAATTCGCACTCTGGTTTTCAATCTCTGCAGCTACCTACAATTCAATAAACATATACCTACAGATGTGTGAATTGTTAACTCAAACCTTGGCTTAGCTGTCATCCCGTGCTGACCTAGGAAGCCCAGGGTGGGAGAAAAGCAGGTGCAAGCTGCTTGCTAGGAAGAAGAAGAAGAAAAGTTTGGATTTGATATCCCGCTTTATCACTACCCTAAGGAGTCTCAAAGCAGCTAACAATCTCCTTTCCCTTCCTCCCTGACAACTAACACTCTGTGAGGTGAGTGAGGCTGAGAGACTTCAGAGAAGTGTGACTAGCCCAAGGTCACCCAGCAGCTGCATGTGGAGGAGCGGAGACGCGAACCCGGTTCACCAAATTACGAGTCTACCGCTCTTAACCACTACACCACACTGGCTCTCAAGGAGCTAGTACATTTTCTTGGATGTGCAAACCAAGACATGGTTAGGGAGATTCCAATAATAAGACCAGAGGGGGGAAGAGCAGCTCTTAGGACCCCAAGGAGTTCCTATTGCCATGTGTCCAAACAACTCCCTTATCAATCACAGCTTTGCCTTCACTCATTAGCTAAAATACTGACAGCCAAGAGTAGCCAGCAAGCTCACGTCACTTAAATTGCTTAGAAAGCTACCTCCACATTTTGCTTCATAACTTTCTTTCTAGGAGGACCAGACTGCTGCTTTAAAAAAGAAAGAAACCTAAGTATCGGGGTGCCTGCCTAGGGGGCACCAATGAAGACCTTTGTGGGTGCCATGGTGCCCAGGGGCACTGGATTGTTGATCTGTGTGTGTGTGTGTGTGTGTGGTCTGTGAGCAGAATCAAAACAGAAAGATAGCTTGTGGTGGGGCTGTGCTGCCTGCCCCTATTTTCCATGCAGAAACTGATCGGGATTGTTTGTCTACATGATAAAAAAGGTAAAGAGACCCTGACCATTAGGTCCAGTTGTGGCCGACTCTGGGGTTGTGGCACTCATCTCGCTTTACTGGCCGAGAGAGCCGGCGTACAGCTTCCAGGTCATGTGGCCAGCATGACTAAACCGCTTCTGGAGAACCAGAGCAGCGCACAGAAACGCCGTTTACCTTCCCGCCAGAGCGGTACCTATTTATCTACTTGCACTCTGACGTGCTTCCAAACTGTTAGGTGGGCAGGAGCAGGGACCGAGCAACGGGAATTCACCCCGTCGCGGGGATTCGAACCGCCGACCTTCTGATCGGCAAGTCCTAGGCTCTGTGGTTTAACCCACAGCGCCACCCGCATCCCTTTGCCTACATGAACAACCCTACAAAAACCCCACTCTTTTCCATCTCTGCCTCCACCTTAAATACTATATAAATGCATACCTATAGTTGTAATGACAGTTCCAGCAAAGAAAAAGGCACTTCCGAGGTCCCAGTGACTGCTGCTGTTAACGGGATCTCCGACAGGATTGACTCCGGCACTGGTAGCATTAATGAGCCTCTGAAAAAAAATATCAACAGTAAAATTAACCCGCAGAATAGTTTATTGTGAAATATAGCACAGCTGGAACTGGACTTCAGTGGAAGCTTAGGAACTAGGAAACTGCTTCTATCAGGTCAGACCTATTGCCCATTCTACCTCTGCTTTAACTGACAGTGGCTCTTCATTAGAGGTACTTCCCATCACCCAGGACCTTCACAACGCAGTGCATGTGTACTGCCACTGAGCTATGCCCCTCTCACCTGTTATCCAAAGCACACTGAGGAAATGTGCAGCACAGAGATCTGAACGGATACACTCAGAAAGCACAGTAATGCCTTCATCTCATTCATATCTAATCACCACCATCACCACAAACCATTTAAATCACCACAAAACATTTGTACAGCATTGCAGGCACTTGATGCACATCATCTCAACAGTCCAGTAAAACAAGCCAGCATTACTACTGCAGATGGGGAAGAGAGGGTTGAACCAGACATGCTGAAGACCACAGGTAAAGTGCTTACCTGCCTAAGCATTCAATGTGTATCCTGCCATGTTTAAATGCATTTATTGTGTTCATCTTCCTAGTTGCATAGAGCAGTGGTAGCCAATGTGGCAACCCTCCAAATATTGTGGAATACAACTCCCATCATCCCTGACCACTGACCATGTCATGAATGCAACCTGGGATCAGAGAGGGAAAGCACAGAGACCATGGCATTGGTACCAGTTGTCGAAATCTATTAAATTCATTTATTCAAGAGCTCTCAGTCACACAAACTGCGTAGGGATAGAGTTACCAAAGGCAGTTGCTATGTCTAACTAGATGGCCGGTCTAGTAGAACAGGTGGATGTATGAACGGGGCTTCATCCTGCTCTTTGGGGGTGCTACTCTCATATTTTAAGTCCTGCTTATTTAAGGTAGCGATTAGCAACCATTCCTCTTTGGTAATGTTGCATAGGGCATACATCCATCTTCATTCATACGAAATAGTAATATTACATGAGCAAATTCACAAAATCTTCAGGCTTGTTTTTTTAAAAAAAATTATATCTGAATTGTGATGGTGCATGAAAACCATGCTAGCTACGTCAAATGGAAGTTGTAATCCACAACATCTGGAAGGTATCACGTTGGCATTAAGAAACTATGATTCTCTGGCTCACAAAAGAAATGGTTATTTCCCCACGGCGAGTGCATTTGGGTGGGAGAGATTGGCAGAGGATTGTTTACATGGGAAAGCCTTTTTCACCTGTCTCTAAGGTTTCACAGCCTCTTAGGTTTGGCCCTGAGGCTGAGGGAACGATGAGGGACACCGACCTGACCCTGCTAATCCCATTATTTATTTATTAAAAGCAGAAGTGAAATTAATGCCCAGGTTGCCTTGCAGCTTAAACAACCCACGAAACCAGACAAACAATAAAGGGCAAAAAGAAAGCAACAGCAAAAGAAAGAAAGAGGCAGCATATCGTTCATGTCTCACGGAAAGCTTCAGGAAGATTAGGATGAGCAGCTCAGCAAAGAAATGTCTCTGCACCGTGTTGAAAGACCATCAGAGAGAAGAGGCAAGGTGAGCCTCTATTGGTAGGGTCTTCCAAAGCCTTGGCATAGAGACAAAGAAGGGTCTTCCCTCCATTCTAACCAAGTACAGTGGTACCTCGTGTTAAGTACTTAATTCGTTGCAGAGGTCCGTTCTTAACCTGAAACTGTTCTTAACCTAAAGCACCACTTTCGCTAATGGGGCCTCCTGCTGCCGCAGCACTGCCGCCGTGCAATTTCTGTTCTCATCCTGAAGCATAGTTTGTAACCTGAGGTACTATTTCTGGGTTAGCGGAGTCTGTAATCTGAAGCGTCTGTAACCTGAAGCATCTGTAACCCGAGATACCACTGTACAACTCTGGTGCTGAAACAATAATAATAATATTATAATAATTTATTATTTGTACCCCGCCCATCTGGCTGGGTTTCCCCAGCCACTCTGGGCAGCTTCCATAGAAACAAAAAATACACTAAAATATCACAGATTAAAAACTTCCCTGAACAGGGCTGCCTTAAGATGTCTTCTGAATGTCAGGTAGTTATTTATCGCTTTGACATCTGATGGGAGGGAGTTCCACAGGGCGGGCGCCACTACCGAGAAGGCCCTCTGCCTGGTTCCCTGTAGCTTTGCTTCTCGCAATGAGGGAACCGCCAGAAGGCCCTCGGCGCTGGACCTCAGCATCCGGGCAGAACGCTGCCTTCAGGTATACTGGGCCGAGGCCGTTTAGGGCTTTAAAGGTCAACACCAGCACTTTGAATTGTGCTCGGAAACGTACTGGGAGCCAATGTAGGTCTTTCAAGACCGGTGTTATGTGGTCTCGGTGGCCGCCCCCAGTCACCAGTCTAGTTGCCGCATTCTGGATTAGTTCTAGTTTCCGAGTCACCTTCAAAGGTAGCTCCACATAGAGCGCATTGCAGTAGTCCAAGCGGGAGATAACTAGAGCATGCACCACTCTGGCGAGACAGTCCGCGGGCAGGTAGGGTGGAGTTGGTAGACAGCTGCCCTGGATACAGAATTTACCTGCGCCTCCATGGACAGCTGTGAGTCCAAAATGACTCCCAGGCTGCGCACCTGGTCCTTCAGGGGCACAGTTACCCCATTCAGGACCAGGGAGTCCTCCACACCTGCCCGCCTCCTGTCCCCCCAGAACAGTACTTCTGTCTTGTCAGGATTCAGCCTCAATCCATTAGCCGCCATCCATCCTCCAACCGCCTCCAGGCACTCACACAGGACCTTCACCGCCTTCACTGGTTCAGATTTGAAAGAGAGGTAGAGCTGGGTATCATCTGCATACTGATGGACACCCAGTCCAAACCCCCTGATGATCTCTCCCAGCGGCTTCATATAGATGTTAAAAAGCATGGGGGAGAGGACGGAACCCTGAGGCACCCCACAAGTGAGGGCCCAGGGGTCTGAACACTCATCCCCCACCACCACTTTCTGAACACGGCCCAGGAGGAAGGAGCGAAACCACTGTATAACAGTGCCCCCAGCTCCCAGCCCCTCTAGACGGTCCAGAAGGATGTTATGGTCGATTGTATCAAAGGCCACTGAGAGATCCAGCAGAACTAGGAAACAACTCTCACCTTTGTCCCTAGCTCGCCGGAGATCATCAACCAGCGCGACCAAGGCAGTTTCAGTCCCATGATGAGGCCTGAATCCTGATTGGAAGGGATCCAAATGGTCCGCATCCTCCAGGCGTGCCTGGAGTTGTTCAGCAACCACGCGCTCAATCACCTTGCCCAAGAATGGAAGATTTGAGACTGGGCGATAGTTGGCCATACTGGCCGGGTCTAAAGATGGTTTTTTAAGAAGTGGTTTAATGACCGCCTCTTTCAGCGGATCTGGGAATGTTCTCTCACAGAGGGAAGCATTCACCACCCCGCAGAGCCCATCGCCCAGCCCTTCCCGGCTTGCTTTTATTAGCCAGGATGGGCAAGGATCAACGAGACAGGTGGTTGGTTTCACGCGTCCAAGCAGCCTGTCCACATCCTCAGGGGTAACGGATTGAAATTGATTCCATGCAACTTGACCAGACAGAGCTCTAGCACTCTCCCGCCCCAGCCCTGCTCCCACGGTGGTGTCTGGCTCCTTCCGAATATGAGTGATTTTATCTACAAAAAACTTTGCAAAATCGTTTTGAGATCTTGGGGTCTTTACAAGGCCCCAGTGGTAAAGGTGGTTCCGTTAAATTGCGAACCACCTGAAAGAGTCTCCTGCTACTATTTTCTGCAGATGCAATAGAGGCGGTGAAGAAAGTCTTCTTCGCCGTCGCTATCGCCACTTGGTAGGCTCGACGTTGAGCTCTAACCTGTGTCCGGTCAGATTCAGAGTGAGTTTTCTGCCACCGACGCTCTAGCCGTCTCAGCGATTGTTTCATCGCCCTCAGCTCCAAAGAAAACCACGGGGCTGTCCAGGCTCCATGCAATCGGAGAGGGCACTTCGGAGCCAGACAGTCGATAGCCCTGGTTAACTCCACATTCCAGCGGGCCACCAGGGAATCAGCTGAAAGGCCATCAACATGGAATAAAGCATCCCCTACCACTCTTTGGAAACCATTTGGATCCATTGAGTGGCGGGGGCGGACCATCCAAATTGGTCCCATCTCCCTGCAGAGGGGAAGGGTCGCGGACAAGTCCAGTTGCACCAGGAAGTGATCTGACCATGGCACTTCTTTTGTTTAACTTTTACTTAGTGTCAGATCACCCACGTCACTAGAGGTGAATACCAGGTCTAAGGCATGTCCATGACTATGAGTTGGGCCAAACTTATTCAGGGACAGCCCCATGGAGGCCATGCTTTCCACGAAGTCCCGAGCAGCCCCTTGTAAGGTCGTGTCAGCATGGATGTTAAAATCCCCTAGGACAACCAAACTAGGTGTCTCCAGGAGAAAATCCGCCACGACCTGAAGCAGCTCGGACAGGGAATCCTTGGTGCTGCGGGGAGGTCGGTACACCAAAAGGAATCCTGTACTGCCCCTATTGCCCAACTTCCAGAACATGCACTCAGAGAACTGGATCTTCCCAGTAGGACGCCTGGTGCAAGCTAGTGATTTCCTAAAAATCACTGCAAACACATCTCCCCACCCACATGACCTGGGTTGCTGTGCGTAAGAGAAACCTGGTGGACAAGCAGCGGCAAGGACAGGCCCATCCGCTTTCTCCAACCTGGTCTCTGTCACACACGCCAGGTCAAATCCTCCATCCACAATCAGGTCATGGATGGCAGTGGTTTTATTCATCATTGACCTGGCATTACACAGCAACACCTTCAGGTCATGTGGGTTTCCCCTGTTGATTCCAATATCCATCCGGTCAAGGCCAGACCCGGAGGCAGGGATAGTCTTCAAACAACGACTAAACCTGCCTCCTCGGTAATGACATGGTCTGGTCTTAGCGTAACTCCGCCTCCTGCCCATGATCACCGAGATCGGATGTCCCAGTGCTTTCCCCCCTGTGGAACTTGTCCCAGCCATCGTGTTGGCCGGGGCCCCACTCCCAGGCAGCCCTGATCCCGCCCCTTAAAACAAAACACAAACTATACAGAACCAATAAAACAAGAACAAAAAAAGGAACAGAACAATTATACTAAAATTAATCCCCAACCAAATATCCATCCCACCCACCCCCAACAAAGGAAAAAAGGAAAAAAGAAATAAAAATTTAAATTGCCACCGACTGCTTGAGGACATTTTAAAGCACATTAACCACCTGGATCAGGGAAGCAATGGCAGAACAATTCCCACACTTCCCCAAAAGTTTGTTCCAAATAAGGGCCTGGGCCACGCCCCCTGGGCCAGTTGGAAAAGGCCCTGGAAGGGAGCAGGCCCTGCAGTCCTCCCCACAGCCGATGGTCCCACAATGTGGAGAGCCAAGGGGAGGGGGGGAGATCTCTGTGTGCAGCATGGCTCGTGTTGGTCAAAAGTATCCAAAGCCTCAAATGATTTAATTACCTCTGGTTATTTATTTCTCTTTGAATGTTTAATTACCCTAAAATCTAGATACTTAAACAGGGAAAAGAGAAGCTGGGAAATGTTAACAGCATAGCTAAAATATAGAGGAAGGGGACTAGGATGTCTATCTACTAGGTTCCCAGTGGTGTCAGGGAAAAATTTGTTTGCTACATAGCAGAATCTCAGAGTGCAGAGAGCATTCTGTTTATTTACCCAGAAGGGCATAAATCAGCTTAATTGACACCTCAGCGTGACAGGCAGGCCATGGCACGCTGTCACCTCAACTGGTGTTACTTGTGCCAGAGGATGCATCGCCTTCTCCATTCCAGAAGCAGCACACTATGCGGCATGACCCAGAGTACAAGAACCACATCTGTGGTTCGCCCAGCCTAACGCGTTTGCTCGGCCAAAGGTGTGCAGTGCACCTCCAGGAACAAGTTGCCTGACAGCAGCGCACCCCAGACAAAGGCAGCTTTGGCATTCTGCTTGCGACGTGACAGCGTTTTTCACTTCATTAATTTAGGGCAGCTTTAGTTCAATCTCTAAGGACGGACTCCATCAAAGTATGGGGGTGGTTTCTGTCTTCCTCAAATAAGAACGCAGGGGGGGGGAAGCTTTACAACCAAACGGACCAGTGTGCGCTTGTTGAACAGGGAACCTTTTTCAGCCCACGGGCTGCATTTTCTCATGCACAACCTTCCCGGGGTGGGTGGAGTCAAAGACAAGAGTGTGTGAAGCCATAAAAGGTAAAGGTAAAGGGACCCCTGACCATTAGGTCCAGTCGTGGCCGACTCTGGGGTTGCGGCGCTCATCTCGCTTTATTGGCCAAGGGAGCCAGTACAGATTCTGGGTCATGTGGCCAGCATGACTAAGCCACTTCTGGCAAACCAGAGCAGCACACGGAAATGCCGTTTACCTTCCCACCGGAGCGGTACCTATTTATCTACTTGCACTTTGACGTGCTTTCAAACTGCTAGGTTGGCAGGAGCTGGGACTGAGCAATGGGAGCTCACCCTGTCGCGGGGATTCGAACCGCCAACCTTCTAATCGGCAAATCCTAGGCTCTGTGGTTTAACCCACAGCGCCACCCGCATCCCATGTGGAGCCATGGATGTGGCCTTTGCTTCTGCATGAAAGGCTACATTCCAGGCATCAGAGGTTTCTACAACCCTACCCCCATCTTTCCATCTCCCAAGCAAGAGGCATTATCACAGTTCAAAGTCACATTTCAACCAGAGTCAATTGGGGGGTTCAGAAAGTGTGCAGGGGGAGCAGAGGGGGGCAGCCCCATTGCACATGTAGAAGTCCTTGTGCAGGGCTTCCACATATGGGGCTCCTGAGAATAATCCTACCCTGAATACTGGGGGTGGCCTGGGGGGAGTCCCGAGGGATAGACAGAGTGCTTTGAAGGGTTTCCAGCCTGAGGCTCCCATCTGTTGTCTGATTTGATCTTTTCTACAAAAGTACTGTGGGGTTGTTGTTGTTGTTTTTAATTATTCTTCTGAAACAGACTTTGTGTGTATTACTCACTGTGCAAATGGCTCTGTGAAGAAAACATGATGTAAGAAACAAGCTCACAAAGGCATCTGAATAGCTACAAACCTAGTGGTACAAAAAAGGGGGGTGCTACACCAGAAAAATCAACTGGTTTTTGTTGATAATTAAATGTTTCTTGTAAGCCACTTAGAGGTTTTATTACAAGGAGGAGGTATACAAATCTTTTTAAGCGAAAACATATTAACACATGCAGGAAGGGAGGCAAGTCTCAAACTGATACTACACCAGAAAGTTGGTTCTTGAAGAATAAAAGAGAACCCTAACACATTTCTCTTTAGAAAAATTACACAGGACAATAGAGGCTTGTGTTCTTTATCTTTAAGGAGAACTAACTCCTATACAGAAAAAAGTCGCACTGAGATAAACGTGACTTAGGTGATTTCATGTGGATGCAGGGCTGTTTTAAGCATATGTGGCGCTGGGGTGCAAAGATCCGCCCGGTGCCCCCCCCTGCCAAGTTGCCCAATCCCAGGTGTGCAGGAGGGTGGAGCCGACTGGCCGCCTCAGCGTCTCTCTGGCTCGATTGCCCCCAAATTTGCGGTGCAGAGCCGCTGGCAGCAGAAGAGCCTGCCATGGCGCTCTGACCAACGGGTGGGCTCTTCCCTGACTCAACTCTCAGTCCCTGGACTCTTGGCCTGGAGCCCCTGAGAGCCCAGCGCCCAGGTGCCCCATACCCTTAGTACCTATGGGTAAGATGGCCCTGTATGGATGTTTATTGTTGAATCAGTATCATGCAAGCCAGTTTTTTTGTCATGTCCACACAACATTGTTATCATCAAAATGCCAGCTCATATTCCCACTCCAAGAAGACCAACCCTTTTCTGGTATCTCAGCGACCCGTTTACAATATTAAACCCCCATTTAGAAGCACCCTTACTCCCAATGAAGTGTGTACAGGATTGCAAGATACTTTCTTTGAACTTTCTCTAATTTTGTGTAGGAGAAATGTTGTGGGGGGGCTTAAATGGAGGAAGATGACAAAAGGAGCCTAATTGGCTATGATTACAGACAGTGACTGATTTGTAAGTCTAAATGAAACCCCAAATTGCCCATTTTTCTTGCTAATAGACTCCTGGCTAATCCATAAATATTCTGTCAAACACAGAGCAGGTCAGCAGCTTGAAGGTCTAAGAGAAGATGGAAAGGGGCTGCAGAATTACGATAATCAAGAAGCTTTTTAATAAAGTTATAGTCCTAGACACTGAGACTGAAAACATGTACAGAATAAGATCAGTGATCCATTTAGCTCAGCATTTTCTACACTGACTAACACATGTTCTCAATGATTTCAGAAAGGAGTCCTTTCCAGCCCTACCCAGAGATGCTAGGAATTGAACCTTTTGTGTGCAAAGCATGTCTTCTTCATCTTCTTCTTTGGCGATCACTCATAGCCAAGTAAGATTGTCTTCCACAAACACAGTTTTAACAGTTGAGTCCATAAGTGACTGTGGAGGCCAATTCTGGATCCACACATCCTTCCACAGTGGGGACATAGGCAAAGCATGTACCCTACCACTGAACTATGACTCTAGGCATGGGTCCACAATTCCCGTCTACCTGCACGAACTTCCATTACCTCAATGACCTTAGGCCCAATAGTTCTTCCTCAGGGGCAGAGGGAAGGAATCAAAGAACCAACCAGAACAAAACATGAAAAGTACCTTTGAAATTTGCACTCCATTCATTAAACTTTGGTCCCTTTTTATGGATTCCACCCCACCCAAGTCCAGAACATGCTGGGGGAAGGGTTGACAACCTTTTTGGGTGAATGGCTGCATTTGCAAACCAGGAGGAAAGGCAGGGGGAAGGGACCCTGTGAGTACCAGGGGAGATCTCTTTAAGTGCATGTGCATCCACTGGTGACACTTTGGTAACCCTTGTTCTGGAGCAGGCTTCCTCAACCTCGGCCCTCCAGATGTTTTGAGACTACAATTCCCGTAATCCTTGACCACTTGTCCTGCTAGCTAGGGATCATGGGAGTTGTAGGCCAAAAACATCTGGTGGGCCGAGGATGAGGAAGCCTGCTCTGGAGCATACGTGGAAGATGAAAAAGACAAGCTCTCTTCATGCACGACCCCTGCCAAAAACAGGCAACAGACCAAGAGCTCAAATGAATGGATTCCAAAATCCATTCTACCCTTTTGAATTATTTGGTAGATCACCACTTTCCCCCGCTTTTGGGAGACTGCATTGCAACAGACATGATTTAAGTTCCTATCTTGTTCTCTGGAATCATTGTCTTCATGAAAAATAAATTAGCTCCTAGCCACACTCTGTAAGAACATCTTTAAAAGAGTGAATGAAGTGTAAACAGCACTACGGGCCTGCAGAAGGCTTGGTCAATGGCTGTCAGGTGGCATATTCATTGCACAAAGTCATATTCCCTGGTGGCCAATTAATTGCCTGAGTTACTGCCATTGGTGAGGAGGGGGGAAGGAATAGGTCATGACCCATCTCAATCCTGCATAATTTTGCCAGCTAATTTCACTGGACATCATAACTCTGTTAAACTGCGGTGTGTGTCTTTTTATTTCTTTTGTGGTTGTTTTTAGTACATATTTGTAGTAATATAACTTACTGTTTTCCCAATTGCTCTTGTTTATTGTGTTTTATGGCCTACTGTAAACTAACCTGGAAAAATTTAATTGGAGGGCAGTATAAAAACACATTCAATAAAACGAAATAACGAAAGCATGAGTCTGTATGATGTGTGGTGATCTGTAAATTGCTTTCAATTCAGAAGATTCCAAATAGCCAACAGTAACCAAGAAAAGCACAGACAGGATAAAACCGAACAGAAACAAAACTAAGAGAGTGACAGCACCTCACAGGAATGATCTACCCAAAAAATGACATGTTAAAATTTTTATATTACTTCTGCAAGGAGCTTGGACTTGTGGAACTTCCATAACTGAGGGACAGACTCTACATGAATACAAAGATGCAGTCCTCTTGGTTATCTTAGGCAGGGTGGAGAAATATATTTCATCCAAGGCATTTGGGGCTTGACAAGTTAAAGCCCATGGCTGCAATTGCTATCATCAGAAAGTAACAAGAAGCCAGTGTTGATTCTTGATCACTAGTACAATATGAGATCCACAGGTGTTAGACGGCAGAATTTTACATTCTATTATTACGCAAATTTATGAGGAGTCCTAAAAGGCAGCCCCAGAAAAATATATTACCATGGTCTACCAGGAAATTTACAAAGGCATGGATGATTAAACTGCACAAGAGTAGTTTGATATTGTCCATTTCACAGTATGTAGAATACTAGGTTATTTAAGCATCTGAATGGGGAATTAATTCATCCTATTTTGATTCACTTACTTACTTATAATTCAATAATTCTTATATCCAAAATAGCTTGTGAGAAAAATCTAGCCTCTTAAAAAACCCTATCCTGCTTTGGTGAGCGAGTATCCCAACTACATAAGATGTAAGATGTAAGTGCGGGTGGCGCTGTGGTCTAAACCACTGAGCCTCTTGGACTTGTCGACTGGAAGGTCAGCGGTTCAAATCCCTGCAATGCAGTGAGCTCTCGTTGCTCTGTCCCAGCTCCTGCCAACCTAGCAGTTCAAAAGCCCACCAGTGCAAGTAGATAAATAGGTACTGCTGCGGCAGGATGGTAAAGGGTGTTTCTGTGCGCTCTGGCTTCCATCACAGTGTTCCGTTGCGCCAGAAGCGGTTTAGTCATACTGGCCACATGACCCGGAAAGCTGTCTGTGAAGAAACACCTGCTCCCTTGGCCTGAAAGCGAGATGAGCGTCGCAACCCCATAGTTGCCTTTGACTGGACTTAACTGTCCACGGGTCCTTTACCTTTACCTTACCTGTAAGATGCTACTTTTAAGTGAGGCAAAATATTTGTGGAAATAATAGGGGCAGGGGTCCTACTTTTCGTGTAAGAAATGTGGAAAAAAATGTGAAAGAGTCTTTCTCTCCCTGCCACCAATTGCCCTACCCAAATTCTAGCAAACTAGCAAGAAATCCTGTTATAGTAAATGTGCTGTTAATTGTAATTTCCAAACATTTAGTAAATGTGTAACAGGCTCTAATGCTGATCACACTCAAATTTGTAGAGTATGTTCAAAGGCTGTGCCAGCAGCAGATGGTGGTGGGGCTGCTTTGCCCACCTGACCTCCATCCGGCTGAGTCACTGCAACGCACTGAGATGGAGAGGAGGTTTGCAAAGTGCAAATGCGCCATCAGGAATGCCAGATTGGCTCCACCAGTCAGTTTACACCGCGCAAACTTCACTATGCCATCCGCTGTTAAGCTATGGTCTTTCTCTACCCAACCTCTTGGTAGGGCTTCTCTTTCAGATCACCTCTCCTCTGAATTAAAGCAGACACTGACTGGCATTCTGACAACTGCTATTTATTTATTCTCTCCAGCCCTTGCTAGACATGGATACCAGTTGTTCATAAGAGCCTGATGTGCCCGTTTTGGCATAAAGTTGACTGTTATTTCATTTATTCTGCATATAAATATTAATGCCTTTTTGTACACCACCTTTTGGTGTTTACAATGGAAGGCAATATAGAAATAGTTTAAACATAATGAACTGCGTCCCTGAAATTTGCTCTTTCGCTTTTACATTCCTAAGTCTGAAATATAATTTCTTTCACGGGTTTTTCTGTTTTGCCCAGGTGATCCACACAAACTCATACTGGGAGCCAACAGCTGTCAGTCAACGCTCTGATTTTTCAGTTACTATTGTTCCTTTTTTTCTGCATTTCCTTCATTTCACAAATTGCTTTCCAGCAATGAAATCAGCAATGTGTCCATGCAGTGATTACTGTGCCATGCAAGGACCAAATGACAGCACCATGCTCCCTGTGTCGCGCAGCACAGAGCCTCAGGTGTAATTACTTTAGAAAAGAGACACTGGCGATTTCATAAGGGAGGCTGGGACCAAACTGGCCCCACCAAAGCACAAACACTCCTGGCAGAATACATTAGCATTAGACAGCTCAATCTAAAAACCAAGAGTTACTGTGAGAAGCAAATAAAGGCAAAGGATTTATAAGAAGCTTTGCCCTGAACAAAGCAGTCCACTTACTCCCCCAAAGTCCACATTTCCTAGTTGGTTTATACTAGAGATCTATATATAAACTGGCCAATCCACTCAAATTAATGTGTGAAAGTACTGCCACTATAGCACAGTTGATCTCACTGGTCTGGCGTTCCCTCAGCTTACAGAACTGCTATAATTTATGCATAAAGATGAAATTCATTTGGTTTGCTTTTTAATATGAACCTTCCAAATTCGCAGGGAGTTCTTAGTATGGGCCCTTCTCTGATGTCTTCAGTAGGCCGTTTAGACTTTTTTGGCCAGGTTTCTTAGTGAATTTTAACCTTGTGTGCGTTGGACCTATTATGTTGTTATTCTGGCTTCTTAGTATGTCCTGTTTTTTAAACTGCAAATTATTTTATTATGTTTATAACCCAACACGCTTCCATCCTGGAACCCAAGATGTAGTTCCCATGCAGTCATCCGCCCAGCCTCAGTCACTGACCATACCTGGACATACTTAGCTTCAGCAAGGTGGTGGCCTTGTGTGCCTTCAGACTGTAACCTGGGACTTATAATGAGGTTGGAATTGTTGTAATCTGCCATGGCTGGGGCTGATGGGAGTACAGTGGTGCCCCGCAAGACGAATGCCTCGCAAGACGGAAAACCCGCTAGACGAAAGGGTTTTCCATTTTTCGATGCGCTTCGCAGGACGAATTTCCCTATGGGCTTGCTTCGCAAGACGAAAATGTCTTGCGAGTCTTGAGATTTTTTTTCGCTCCCCCCCCTTTTTCTAAGCCACTAAGCCGCTAATAGCCTTTTAGCAGCCAAGCCGCTAAGCCTTTAATAGCCGCTAAACCGCTAATAGCGCTAAGCCGCTAATAGGGTTGCTTCGCAAGACGAAAAAACTGCTAGACGAAGACACTCGTGGAACGGATTAATTTCATCTTGCGAGGCACCACTGTAGTACTCTGGTTGTAAGTAAGGAGGCAAGCAAGTGGGGGCTGGCTGAGGGGTGCCCCATTCGCCCTAATGGAGAAGCCTCCGCTGACTGAAATCATTCCTGCCACACACTGAATCTGTTCCATGGGAGCATTCATTTGCAGAATAAAAGGAATCAGGCACCGCCACTGGGAGAGTCGCGAACCAAGTATCCAACAGAACAGGTCCTGCTCCTAGGGCCTTCTGGTGGTTCCCTCACTGCGAGAAGTGAAGCCACAGGGAACCAGGCAGAGGGCCTTCTCAGTAGTGACACCCCCCTGTGGAACACCCTCCCTCCAGATGTCAGGGAGATAAAGAACTACACAACTTTTAGAAGACATCTGAAGGCAGCCCTGTTTAGGGAAGTTTTTAATGTTTGATGTTTTGTCACTTCTTCTTCTTCTTCTTCTTCTTCTTCTTCTTCTTATTATTATTATGACCATCACCATCATCATCATTATTATGCCACCCAGAGTGGCTGGGGCAACCCAGACAAATGGGCAGGGTATAAATAAATATATTATTATTATTATTATTATTATTATTATTATTATTATTACATTGCAAGTAAGTCTCACTTTAATTTGAATTGTTCTTGGCTATGTGCAGCTCTGAAGGCATCTAAGGCAGCCGTGTCCAAGGAAGATGCTCCACTGGCTCTCCATCATTCTGCACACAATTTCTTTTTTTACAGGCAGGTCAACACTTGCTGCAATGCAGTAAGATCCTGTGCCAGCTGTAGGGAAGCATCATTTTTTAAAATCCACATGGAGGTATGAGAGGATAGTGCTTTAACCCTTTAGCAACAGTACTCTTTAAAAAAGCCACCCTTCACCTTCTGACCTTCTGACCTCTTTACTTACAACCAACGCTTTGGGGGCAGTTTATGTTTAAAATATGTGCTCCTGTGAGGTATGTTTACCCATTTCCCGGCACCTAAGCAAAAAAATCTAAGAGAAGATTTCCTTTACCGGCAAAAATCCATTCCAATACTGTGCACTTGCTGGCCGTAAGCCATTTGATACGATAAGCAGCTAAACCTATTTAATTTACTTTTCAGAAACGATTCCCGTTCGAGCCAACAAAACGCCTAAGGACAAAAGTGAATTCCCCTGAGGAGAAGCTTGCTTAGAATACGTGGCTCGTACACTGACAAAGCCGGCCCGCTCATTAGCTCCGCGATCATTCATTACCTCAACTGAGGTTAAAGGAGAGGAATGAAAAGGAACAAAAATGCTCCACGGCTGGGCAAAAGCAGACCGACCACAGCACACAGCACAGGAGACAACAATGCATGACAAAAGGGAGAGAGAAAACCCAGTTGCTTCTCAGGAGGAAAAAGGGTCGGGGCAAGAGTCTCCAGCCTTTGCAGGCCCAGAACTTACCTTTCACTTAACCTTCATTGTTTGTGCATGTGAGTGTGTGTGTCTCCCTGCATGCACATTTTCATGACATCTCCCTAACTGTTAAGTTCCACATTATAGATGAGCTTTCAGACGGCATAAAAGCCACTTCTGGAACTATAGTGGGATACAGTGCAAGCTTAGTACTCATTTCCAGAAATAATCCATAACATAGTGGCGCTGTGGGTTAAACCACAGAGCCTAGGACTTGCCGATCAGAAGGTCGGCGGTTCAAATCCCCGCGACGGGGTGAGCTCCTGTTGCTCGGTCCCAGCTCCTGTCCACCTAGCAGTTCGAAAGCACGTCAAAGTGCAAGTAGGTAAATAGGTACCGCTCCGGCAGGAAGGTAAATGGCATTTCCGTGCACTGCTCTGGTTCTCCAGAAGCGGCTTAGTAATGCTGGCCACATGACCCGGAAGCTGTACGCCAGCTCCCTCGGCCTATAAAGTGAGATGAGCGCCGCAACCCCAGAGTCGGCCACGACTGGACTTAATGGTCAGGGGTCCCTTTACCTTTTAACAGCTGGAGAAACACAATGAAAATGGAATGAAGTAACATGTGAATGCAGCCTGTGTCTTATCCCTTTCTCTTCCTCAACTGCTCTCCTCCCACCTCTTCTCTCTTTCTCTGTCTCGGTTTCTCTCTCCCCCTCCCCCTCCCCCCATCTTTCATTATTTCCACTTATATTTCTTGCTTTCTCTCTTTCTGAAAAATTGCGTTGGTGCAATTGATGGAGGTCAACTTAAAGTAAGGTGTTGTGCAGTTTGGACTTACAACCCACCAGCAGAACATCAGTGACAAACCCCTGGAACACACACTCCACTTCTGCATTAGCAGCATTTGCAGGTCATGGAAACCCAAGGCAAATGGTTTAACATGAACCCGTAGGTGGCTTTTCTGCTTTGCTCTTCCCCTAGCACAAGAGGGGTGTCAATTTATATTTTATCAGGTAACTTCATTTCTTTCTTTATTACATTTCTAGCCTACCTTTTCTCCAAGGAGCTCCTCCCCATTTTATCCTCAAAACAACCCTCTATGGCAGGCTAGGCTGAGAGACTGTGACTGGCCCAAGGAGAACACAAATGGGGGAGATTCAAGCATGGGGGGGGCATAAGAAAAGGATGGGGAGCCCACTAATGCTCAACCCCAAAACTGGCTCTTTTTATATATACAGTGGTACCTCGGGTTAAGAACTTAATTCGTTCTGGAGGTCCATTCTTAACCTGAAACTGTTCTTAACCTGAAGCACCACTTTAGCTAATGGGTCCTCCTGCTGCTGCCATGCTGCTGGAGCACAATTTCTGTTCTCATCCTGAGGTAAAGTTCTTAACCTGAAGCACTATTTCTGGGTTAGCGGAGTCTGTAACCTGAAGTGTCTGTAACCCGAGGTACCACTGTATTCTACAGGCTTCTAGAACTCCCAAAATGCTCTAAAAATGGCCAGTTGGCAACCATAATGGCTTGATGACCTACTTTGCACAAGCAAAACCAGAACTGACCTTTCAGGGAATAAATATTTCACTGAGAATGGACAGAACTGCCGGGTTTCATGCCACTGACTTTTGGCAGAGAGCAGAATGTCTTCCCCCCTCTCCTACACAATTCGGGAATGGATTGGAATGGCCCTGATCCAGCGAGGGGAAGGTAATAAAAACACCATTGCATTAGAGACATGTGTGTGCGCGCGCGCTCACTGAGTTGTGAGGCATGGCGCCTCAAACTTCCTCATAAGGAAGCTGTGCCTGGAGGAAGAACTGTGAGGGGAGAAACGCTCTCTTCCACCTGCCTTACTCCAACCTCTAGTCTCTGCCTCTCAATTTCTATTGCATTATTTTATGTACTGTGGCTTGCAGTTGTTTTATTGATTATAGTTTAGAAATTATTTATCGTAACTGTTAAGGGTGAATTTCTGTTTAACTTTTATATGCTGATATTATTCTTTTATACAATTCTAATGATTGTTGAATGTTACTTTTTTGATGTAGTTGCTTATTTTAAAGTTAGGTTTTATTATCACATTTTTGTATTGCATTCGATTGTTATAAGATGTACATTTTTTGTTTCTTCAGCTTATAAACCACCTTAAGTATTGTAAGATAGAAAGACAGTATACAAATTAAAAATGATGATGATGAAACTAAATCATTCCTTTCACTACAGTCAGGTTAAGTTAGGCTGAGAGGCAATGATCAGCACAAGGTCGTCCAGTGAGCTTCATAGTTGACCAGAGACATAAACCAAGGTCCCTCTGGTCCAAGTGCAAGCCTCCATCCACTACTATGGCGCACTGTTGTGTGATAAAATGGGGAAGAAGAGAGCCCTGTGTGCTACCTTGAGGTCCTTGGAGGAAAGGTGGGGTAAAAATGTAATAAATAAGTGCATAGTGGGGCACTGAACCCATCCATAGCCTACCTTACCTCAAAGTTTATTTTATTTGTACAAAGGTGTCTTACAATTAAAAGAGCTAAAGTTCCTAGAGTGTTGTAACAATCCCCCTTCACAGGGTTTTTTGGGAACTGTAGTCCTGTGAGGGGAATGGGAGCCTCCTAATAACTCTCAGCACTATGTAACTACAGCTCCCATAATTTTTTGGGAGTGGGGAAGCCATAGTGCTTTAAATGTTTTGTATGAATGTAGCCTGAGCCAGAGATCATAGTCCACATGCTGGTAGGGAGAAGAAAAATGAACATAATCTGCTCATGCAGAATAAAGCATGCATACTGCAACATGCAAAAGAGGTCAATGAATTTCCAAAATCTTCATTTTCTTTGAAATTCAACTAAAACCCCCTCTAATTTCTAATTAACAACCTCTTGTTTTGATCAAGCACGCTATCAAGAATACCTCTTTCATACAACTATACAGGACTAATGAGCAGTCCTTCAGCCAGTTCCTTGATGTTTGTAAAAAGAAATATCGCTATGAATGAAAGCACCACATTAAAAGCAACAATACCAAGTCCTTTGTTTCCCCCCCACACAACACAAACAGCATGAGCAGCAACAGAGCCTCCTCCCACCCCCCGCCTGCCCCACGTTTACTGACAGGAAAGAAAACCCATTAAACTGCACAGACAAGAATCAGGTCTCCAAGGCCACTCATATACTCTGGACCCCTGCTTAGTTTGACAAAGAAAGGCTCTGGAAATAAAGTCACCTTTCAACCGAGACCTGCAGCAAGATGAAATCTATTTCATACAGACCAACACACAGCTGTCAGGTGATAACAGTTTGTGATCGCTACCCCATGCATTGAATACAGATGGAGGGATTAGACTGGAAACCTCCACCTATTATCATTGGTTGGTCTCTGTGTGGGGTTTTTAAATCCCTGTTTGAAGTCACCTTAAAGGCTGACTTCTGATGCAAGAATGCACGCTGTTTCAGGATCCTTGCAAATGAAGTCACATACAAAGTTGATAGGACAGCTGCTCCAAAGCTTATATATGGCAGAAGTGTGGTTTTTTGGTTGGGATTTTATTAATTGCTGGCCATCCTGTCAACCCATTTCCTGCTCTCTTTGGCTTCAAACCTTCCGGCTTACAAGACAGCCAACATGTACTGCCAAGAGGTTTATTGGTTTAAGTACAACTTCACACTTTATTGGTGTTGCACTTTAATCTGTGTGCTTGCCAGTTCTAGCATGCTCTTCCTCAGCCAAGTGGATCTGGCTATGGATGCTCAGCCGATCAGCTGTTCAGCTGCTGTCTCCAACAACCTGCCCCAACTTTGCTGGCTTGCAAAACATCTGGCTGGGGGGTCCCTTTCCTTCCTAACCCATTAACATTCTTCCTTAACCGTGAGTAGTCAGAGACCATGGAGGCGGTGCTGAATTCCTCCTACTAATAAAAACAGAGTCAACTGGATGTCATTGTTGTCAATGTTCATATGCTGGCCTTCCTCCCAAACACACAAACAACAAAACGGCTAAAAGCAATGTCAATACAGATGCAAACTAGGCAAGATCTCTGCATAAAAGGCTTATTGGAAGAGGAAGGTCTTCAGTAGACAAAAAAGACAGCAGAGACTAATTCCTGTCTAAGGAATTCCAAAATGTAGCTGCCACAGCACTAAAGGCCATGTCTTTTGTATTTCTTCTTTCTAATCCCATGTGTTCCCTAAAGCAAGGATGGGCCTGTGAGTCGTCAGTCTGGGGCCAGATGAAACCCATGGAGGACTCCTCTCCTTGCCTCTTCCCCCCACACGTCACTTGGCATGAATAGAAGGGGAGGGCTGAAGCTGGGGAGGGAAAGGCAGTGGAAGCTGGTTCCTTAGGGCAAATGAGGAACTGCACCACCAACCTCATCCTGTTCCCAGCCAGCCCCCACCTGGCTCCCTTCTTACTTACAACCAGTCCAGAAGGTACCATGGCCTGTAAGCTTCCTTCTCCTTGGTTTCACTGTTGCCTTTGTGGAACTCAACAAGGAGGAGGATGGGGACGAACATGAACTAGTTGGCTCTGTCTGTTAACATCTCTGGCGCCACCTACTGTTGGCCTCCCTGCCCTAGCAGGCTCACCACTGGGGAAATATAACTCCACCTCCTTATGTGCTAGACCACCCCAACAAAATCAGCTGCCTGCACCACAATTAGGCTTAGGAGGAAAGGTTGTTTCAAGTGCACTTGCTGTGTGGTGGAGAGGTGATCTTTGTGGACACTGCATCTGGGGAGGACTGCTGGGAAAGGTGTGTGTGTGTATGAGAGAGAGTGAGAGAGCGCCCTTGATGGGGGCTCTGGCCACACCCAATTCTGCTTTGGTTCTGCCTACCACTGCCCACCAAGGCTAGCCATGAGGGAGTATGGCCCTCATCCTGCAAAAAACTTCCTACTCTTCTAAAAGGTCAATGAGCAATATATTACTGCCGTGTTACAATAGTGCATTCAGAGAGCCCGTATGGTACAGTGCTCAGAGTGTTAGACTATGACTTGGGTTGCCAGGGTTCGAATCCCCACTGAGCCATGAAGCTCACTGGGCGACTTTGGGCCTGTCACCATCTCTCAGCCTAACCTACCTGACAGATTGTTGTGAAGATAAAAATGGGGGTGGGGGAGCCATGTATACTATCTTGAACTCCTTGGAGGGAAAAAGTTGGCATATTAATGTAATAAAATAAAAATTGGGGTTTGTGGACTGTACATGCCAGATCTGCTTCTGCCTGAACTTGGAAACATTCTGAGTGGAAACATCTCTTCAGATCTTTTCTTCTCAACTTCCTGTACAGTTTAGATTCAGGTAGGTAGCTGTGTTGGTCTGACGCTGTCGATCTCTCTCTCTCTATATATATATATCAATGGTACCTCGGGTTAAGTACTTAATTCGTTCCAGAGGTCCGTTCTTAACCTGAAACTGTTCTTAACCTGAAGCACCACTTTAGCTAAAAGGGCCTCCTGTTGCCGCCGCGCCACCGGAGCACGATTTCTGTTCTCATCCTGAAGCAAAGTTCTTAACCCGAGGTATTATTTCAGGGTTAGTGGAATCTGTAACCTGAAGCATATGTAACCTGAAGCGTCTGTAACCCGAGGTACCACTGTGTGTGTGTGTGTGTGTGTATATATATATATATATATATATACACACACAGAGAGAGAGAGTGTCATACCTCGGGTTACAGATGCTTCAGGTTGCATTTTTTTGGGTTGCGGACCACCAAAACCCAGAAGTACCGGAATGGGTTACTTCCGGGTTTCAGCGGTCGCGTATGCGCAGAAGCACTGAACTGCAACCCACGCATGTGCAGAAGCAGCACTGCGGCTTGCGAACGTGCCTCCCGCACAGATCACGTTTGCAACCTGAGTGTCCTCTGTGCATGTGCGTGTGTGCGTGTGTGCGTGTGTGTGTGTGTGTGTGTGTGTGTGTGTATTGTCCAGTAGCACCTTAGAAACCAACTAAGTTTGTTCTTGGTATAAGCTTTCGTGTGCATGCACACTTCTTCAGATACATTTTAGGAAACAGTGGCTGGGATCCAAGGGATCCACAGCAGCCCCTTCAGGTCACCAGGAAAACCACTCCAGAACTTGTGCAAAAAGATGCTTTCAGATCACACCTCAAGTAAAACCACACTTTGAGCATGGCACATTCTCATTAACCATAATTTTAACAAGCCACAGTTTTCGGCTTCAGGCATGACAGAAAGCCGCACTTCACCTAAAACCAAAGGCAGGTGCTTTTGATTTCATTCCCATGATCTTAAAACTGAAGAAAATGGGGAGGAAGAGCACCCAAGCCCGATGCTTGCCATAGTTCATTTACACAGCGGTGAACCATCATTTCCCATAACTTAAAATCTAGAACGCAGTGTCAGTGAGTTTCATTAGTATGTTCCTTCTAGTTTTCTCACCTTAATCAATTCCTCCAACTCCTGTTGAGATACACATTTGTTCTCCAGAAGGAAATCTGCCTTGTCGTTGGCTGTTCTGTCCTTCTGCCTGCTTTCTTCTGGCTGCTCCAGGGCACGAAACACAAGTCCCCCGGTGACCAGGTAGGCCACAACCACAAAGAAGATGGCCACCACCGTTTTCCACTTCATGACCGTCTGCAAACCCTGTGATGGGGCTTCCATGCTGGCGATCACAGTTGTCCGGGGAGAGGAAATAGAGAGTCGTGGCCCCGGATTGTGTGTCTTGGTTTTATTGCTCTCAGGTTCACACGCCAAGGGAACAGCTGCTGGAACAGTCACTAAAACAAAACAAAAAAGCAAATGAGGTTAAAATCTCTGCTTGATAACAAGAGTTTTGGTTTTCTTTTAGATTTACAGTTTTGAGGCCCTCCTGACTGCATTGCGACCTATCAAAAATTCAGCTGGCTGGGATTCAGAGGGGACCCTACTCTGTTGCAGCACCCATTCTATGGATTGAGTTCCCTATGGAGATCAGGCAAGCACCAACAATGGAATGTTTTCACAGATTTAAAGATCTTTCTGTTTACCTTGGAATTTCCTTGCTGTTGATAATGAATTCTGGCTGCTGCAGTTGCTGGAATTTTGTGTTCTGGCCTGGATGTTTTTGTTGTTGATATTTGTTTTAATGGCTTTTATGCCTACAGTGAACCATTTTTGGGATTCATAAATGAAAAGTGGTATATAAGTTTTTTAAACAAGCAAATAAATAAAATTATTATAACCAGGATATTGTGCAACCTGAAACGGAGAAACAAATGGCACCACTGTCCCCCACAACAAAGTCAAGGCACAAAGCACTTATCCAGTATTAGTCCTATGCAGAGCAGACCCATTAAAATTAATGGACATTACTAATTTGGCTCCATTAGTTTCAATGGGTTGATTACAATCTATAATACCTCAAACTGGTCAAGCCATTCTGGTACCTGAAGCAGAAAATCCCACAAGCATATCTCCTGCTCCCTGGCACAAAGAATACACTAATGATTTCCATGATTTTTCTGTGTATAAGACGCCCCCATGTATTTTGGAGGATTCCAAATTAAGAAATCACCCCTCAGCACTACCCGTGTATAAGACGAGCCCCAATTTTAAACCTAATTTTTTGGTTAAAAAACCTAGTCTTGTTCAGAGGAAAAATATGGTAGTTTATTTGTTTATGTGTGTGTGTTTGGGAGCATTTATACCCTGCCTACTAACTGAAGTCTATAAATAATAACTTGCTGTCTTTTCATGACAACCAAAATCAGCTGCCTGAGGTGACTGCCTCACTCTGCCTAATAGGGCCAGCCCTGGTGTTACTTGTCCGTTAACTGTATGGATTAAAACCCTATAACAATGATCCTAGACTTTTGCCCAGTAACTGCTGTTTTTAAAAGTGGAACTTGGCATGAATTTTTATTATGCTTTTTATGAGCTTAAGACAACTTGCTGTTCTATATTCCTACAACACCAGATCTTGCCATCAAGCATTCCCATCCCTTTCTGTCCACTTGACACACATGGAGCTATCCAGGGTGCTGAACTGCAATCTATACCTTGCCCTTGCCTTGCTGTGATTGCCTATTGGAACTCTGATCTTAGATCATGTCTCTGCTACTGATGAGGCTGTCCCTCAAAACAGAACATAGTGGCATAAGTTTTTTGAGGTTCATTTTATCAGATGTACAAAGCGTTGTTCCAAGTTAGCAGGCAAATACATGCACATGGTGAGGGGTTGGGGGTCATAAGAAGCAAGGTCAGAGGGAAATGAAATGCTAAGAAACAAAAAAAAAAAATATGCCCTGTGACCAATACGATCAAGTTTAAGGCTGCAATCCTGTACACACTTACCTAAGAGTAAGCCCTATTGAACTAAATGAGACTTACATCTGAGTAGACAAGTATAAGAATGCAGTGTGCTATTACAGTGACTGTTCACAAGTGTTAACAGGGGTCAGCAAACTTTTTCAGCAGGGGGCCAGTCCACTGTCCCTCAGACCTGGTGGGGGGCCGGACTATTTTTTTTGGGGGGGGGATGAATGAATTCCTATGCCCCACAAATAACCCAGAGATGCATTTTAAATAAAAGGACAAATTCTACTCATGTAAAAACACACGGATTCCCGGACCATCAGGCGGATTGAAAAGGTGATTGGGCCGGATCCGGCCCCCAGGGCCTTAGTTTGCCTACCCATGGTTAACAATAACACAAACATCCTGGCATTAGCAAGCTCAATTATACAGGTAGATGGTTAAAATAAGGGTCAAACTGCAAGCAACTTTTATAAAAGGGGAAATTGAACTGGAAAAGTGGCACCCTGAACTGTTTCCTCATTAAAATCCCACCACATACACCAAGGAAATCAGCCCTGCTTGGAAGGTGGTAGGGATATAGATACCATGAGTCACATTGTCTTTCACACAGATTATGAGATTATTAACTCGTTAATATTTAGCAGAATAATGATGCAGAGGGCCAGGAGGGCCATAATAAGTTTACTATCAGAGGCTTGGAATAAGAGTCTGTGATCTGGGGCCAAAACTTCCTAAGCAACTCTTGTTCCACCCTTGTAGTTTAATGGCAGGAAGTGAGGGAGCGGTGAATTAGTTCAAGCATCTGTCATAAACGCACTAAGTGGCCTCAGGCAAGCAGCTATTCTCTCAACCCTCAAAGCTAAAATACTTACCTACCTTGCAGAAGTGTTATAAGAATTGCTGCGATAACACATGCAATAGTCTTTCTGTATTCGTATTAATATTTTAACAAAGTTTTCCTCAGAGTAGAGCCGTTGAACTTAATGGCTCTAACTTAGTCAGGCTCATTAATTTCAACGAGGCTACTATGAGGAAGACATAGTTGAATTGCCCCCGTTATTATTATTTCTCAGTCGGTAAGCAGGAGAACTAAATAATTACTCAGTTTAGATGTATAAAGCCAGGCATCCTGCAAATGTTACCTCTGCCTATTTTTCCGATTTTCAGAACAATGCATAAAGATGTACAGGGTGTTCAAAAGGTCACTCTACACCTATGGACATTTACTTACAGGATAGTGTAGAGTGACTTTTTGAACACCCTGTACACATAGGATCATGCAACAGGAATGAATCTCTTGGCAGAACCAATCTCTTGGTGAACAGGAGTGGTGCCATTCACTTCAATGGGAGATGGGTTGCATCAAGAACACTCACAGGTGTTTCTCATTCACATCAGTATGTCGGGATTGAGGCGCTGACCTGAAGTCATTAGTAACTGTGTTTGATCATTTATAAATTGCAGTCTCCAGAAGGATCATATTATTTCAAGACTTTGAGAGAAATGGTGTCAAAAGTCAAAGGTTAATCTGCACATGTTAGACAGTGTTTCCGATAAATGGTGTATTAGAATTCCCTGAAGTGTGACATCATCTTTCAGAGAACCTGCCTTAATGCCTCTCAGGAAAGCAAAGGGGTTATTTTTGCCTTTTCTCTTTGCATCTTATAAAAGGAGCAGTGTGGTCAGGTATTCTATTTATACAGTTCTGTCTCCTTTGAAAATAAATTCCTATTCACCTCAAGTTTGGGTGAACTATCATAACAAATATTGTATGTTATGTGCCCTAGCCCAACTATACCCAGGGTAGTGTTACACGTTTCATCAGCCCCAGCCAGCTTGGTCAGAGATGATAGGGGTTATAGTCTAAAACTTTTGGAGGATATCATCATGTCAGCTTCCCATTGCCCTTTGCACCTTCTAACCAAGCACATTTTATTGTCAAATCTCTAGGATGTGTGGGGTGGGTGTAGTGGTTAGAGTGCTGTAGAAAATCCAGGAGACCAGAGTTCAAATCCTCACTTAGCCATGAAGCTCACAGGGTGACCTTGAGCCAGTCACAGTCTCACAGCCCAACCTACCTCACAAGGTTGTTTTGAGGATAAAATGGGGGGGGGGACTGTGTGCAACACTTCATGCTCCTTCAAGAAAAAGTGGGGTATAAATGCAGTACTTAAAGATATCAATCACCAAGTTTATAGGAAGCAAGGTGGAAAGATCCTGAAAACTTTTCAATGTACAATAAATAATGCAAAATGCAATCCATTCACAAAGGCTGTTAAACTCTGAAAAATGATTAAAAGCGTCAATTTACTAAGCTATTCCCATAACCTGATCCTAATAGCAATCTACTTCACTGGCATTTGATAATTTTGGGTACAATCTAGCTACCAGCACCAGCAAAAATTGACATTTTGAGCACTACACCTACACTGATGCTAGCGAGAGTTTTAAATATGCACACACCATTTTTAGTCGGCTCTAGTCAAAGTGTGGGCCTAAATGGTAAACAGAATAGCTGAACAAATTGGAGGAGGGGGATTGTCCTGGGGCTTGCGAGGCTGCAGCAACGCCTCTATTCCCTTAAATTATAATTATTTCTTCTGAACTTTCTTTTGAACCCTTACCCTAGAGCCTCAGCTGCATGGGGCTTCTTGCTGCCATGCTTTGCTTTGGCTGCACATACAGCAACTTGGACCCAGGAGTGATGAGGACATTCCATAGCTTTGGGGAGGAACTGAACAGAAACAAAAAAACCATGGCTGCCACCAGGAAAGTTAGGAAGCTGACCAAGTTGGACCCTCTAGCACAGAACTGTCTACACCAGGCATGGCCAAACCTGGCCCTCCAGCTGTTTTGGGACTACAACTCCCATCATCCCTAGCTAACAGGACCAGTGGTCAGGGATGATGGGAATTGTAGTCCCAAAGCATCTAGAGGGCCAAGTTTGGCTATGCCTGGTCTACACTGAGCAAAAGTGGCTTTCCAGGGTTTCAGGTTGGGTTCTCTCCCAGCCCCAACTAGATCAGTGTCAGAAACTCAGTTATATAAGCTAGGTGCCAATTGGCTCCTTAAACAAATGTTACAGTCAGGAAAATGGAATGTCTAGTTGTCAGTTTGGGGCAAGACGGCTCTAATGACTTATTTTTCAAACGATGGACTGCCTGTGATTGATTCTTAGTTAAACATCTGGCTAGTTCAGATGACAACCTTGAGCTAGATTAAGAGCTTTGAGAACTTAAAGAAGTAAAGTCACTTGATCCAGGGACAGTCCACATATATATTGGCCTATTCTGACCTCTTTTTCTTAATGGTGACTGCATTCTGATGGTACAGATAAAATATAACTGATAGAATTCTACAGGATG